AAAACACACACACAAAACAAACACACAAAACACACACACAAAACACACACAAAACAAACACACAAAACAAACACACAAAACAAACACACAAAACAAACACAAAACACACACACAAAACACACACACAAAACAAACACAAAACACACACAAAACACACACACAAAAAAAACACACAAAACACACACACAAAACAAACACACAAAACACACACAAAACAAACACACAAAACACACACAAAACATACACACAAAACACACACACAAAACAAACACACAAAACAAACACACAAACACACACAAAACAAACACACAAAACAAACACACAAAACACACACAAAACACACACACAAAACAAGCACACAAAACACACACACAAAACACACACACAAAACAAACACACAAAACACACACACAAAACACACACACAAAACACACACAAAACACACACACAAAACAAACACACAAAACACACACACAAAACAAACACACAAAACAAACACACAAAACACACACACAAAACAAACACACAAAACACACACACAAAACACACACAAAACAAACACACAAAAACAAACACACAAAACAAACACACAAAACAAACACACAAAACACACACACAAAACACACACAAAACAAACACACAACACAAACACACAAAACAAACACACAAAACAAACACAAAACACACACACAAAACACACACACAAAAAAAACACACAAAACACACACACAAAACAAACACACAAAACACACACAAAACAAACACACAAAACACACACAAAACATACACACAAAACACACACACAAAACAAACACACAAAACAAACACACAAAACACACACAAAACAAACACACAAAACAAACACACAAAACACACACAAAACACACACACAAAACAAACACACAAAACACACACACAAAACACACACACAAAACAAACACACAAAACACACACACAAAACACACACACAAAACACACACAAAACACACACACAAAACAAACACACAAAACACACACACAAAACAAACACACAAAACACACACAAAACAAACACACAAAACACACACAAAACATACACACAAAACACACACAAAACACACACACAAAACACACACACAAAACACACACAAAACACACACACAAAACACACACACAAAACACACACACAAAACAAACACACAAAACACACACACAAAACAAACACACAAAACACACACACAAAACAAACACACAAAACACACACACAAAACAAACACACAAAACACACACACAAAACAAACACACAAAACACACACAAAACACACACACAAAACACACACACAAAACACACACAAAACACACACACAAAACAAACACACAAAACACACACAAAACAAAACACAAAACACACACACAAAACAAACACACAAAACACACACAAAACAAACACACAAAACACACACAAAACACACACACAAAACAAACACACAAAACAAACACACAAAACACACACACAAAACAAACACACAAAACAAACACACAAAACAAAACACACAAAACACACACACAAAACACACACAAAACAAACACACAAAACACACACAAAACATACACACAAAACACACACACAAAACAAACACACAAAACAAACACACAAAACACACACAAAACAAACACACAAAACACACACAAAACATACACACAAAACACACACACAAAACAAACACACAAAACAAACACACAAAACACACACACAAAACAAACACACAAAACAAACACACAAAACAAGCACACAAAACAAACACACACCCTGCAACTAAACGTTAAACCGATCTCAATACACCCAGTAACGATAAAGTACCCAAAACAACAACTAACACATAAATTAGATTAAATTAACACTCACTCAAGAGCTCCGCACACTCTCACACACCAACTCTCAGCACATCCACTCAGAGAGAGAGAGAGAGAGAGAGAGAGAGAGAGACTTTAGATCTGTGTGTGTCAGGCCACAGCACAGTTTGCACTCATTAAGGTTCATTACAGATAAAACCTGCTCACATGAATAAGTTGTCACAAGCACACGGGGTGGATTTGAATTGTCCTTCCTATCTCCTTTCACTATCCACTTTACCTTAACCCCGGGGAAAACGTCATGAGGTCAAGGAAAGATGTTAGGAGAATTCATATTCATTTAACAGCATCACCACCTCATGACTAATTTCAATAATGCTACACACGGTGTGTTTTTTTTAATAACAATAACTCTTTTCAGTGTAGTTAATGTGTAATTTTCCATTATTGTATTTTTTATTTAACTGATGTTAATATGTTTGATTTTTAACTTGTATTTCTATTTTTAATAATTATATTCCCGTCCTCTGTTTTCTTAAGCTGCCGTAATGCACAAATTTCCCCCACAGGGATCAATAAAGTTTATCTTTATCTTATCTTTAAAGGACTTAGGGAAAGGCGATCTCGTTGCTCTGACAATCCGACCACATTTCCACTAGGCGACGTCATTAAATGTGACGGGCCGGCGGAGGTTAATGACGTGAGTCTGCCGTGTTGAAACGAAACTACAATGTTCTGAAAATGGACTACAAAAAGCACATCTAAAAAACTTTCCCCTGTGCCTTCTTACCAGTGAAATAATCCTAATTACCACAAGGTTGGGATTGAAATAAAAGCAATATAGACTACCAGACTACGAGTAACAAAAGTGAAACCATCACCTTCCTGTCCACTCATCAATCAACATCAAAATAAATATGAAATTAATTGTTACATTTCTGTAAGATATAGCCTACACATAATGTTTTGAGCATACAAATGTACAACTGCACAAAGCATTCTTAAGTGAATGAAATATTCGGGTATTTTAGTAGTAGGCATTATAAAATGATAACATGTTTCCAAACCAACAGACTTGAATTGCTTCTTCAGCACTGCGCAGCAGTCTGATCAGCTCCTTGTGGAGTGCACTTTCTTCAACTAAGTAAACTCAGTTAAAAGACTTTTAATAAGAGTCTGGCAGTCCGTTCTTCTACGTGTCCGCAATATCGTAATCTAACTCTGGCTCTGACTTTTTATGCGCTATGAATCTATGTCATCTCCGCGCACAATTTGAGGAAGCATTTTAGCGCTGCTCCACGGTTAAACCAGCGGACCTCTGTATGATTGGACAGCCTGTGCGTGATATCATGTTTGGATAAGAATGAAATGTTCAGTAATAGTTATATTTTTACGGTCTGATGAAAGCTGGTGATAAAGTCGCAACAGCAGGCTACTGCATTTAGAAGTGATGTCGCGCTGAAACTTTTAGGTGATCAACACAACACGTTCACCTGTGGGTGACCTAAAAATAAACCATCTGTAATTAAAATTAGTTATTATTCATTTTAATTGACTGTTTTTACAATAACCAGAGGCAAAATAAGTCTATCATCAGGCTCAATGCCGGTGTCCGCAACCTACACTTAGTCTGGATGTGAGGACTGAGGGCTCCGTGTCTTGGCTGGATGGACTCTCAGTAGTGGGGATGGATGGAATGACAGTAGTAGGGCTGGTTGTAACAGTAAGCTTAGTTTTCTTAATGAAAAAACTTTAAATGTTTCTACCGCTCTTCATTTTCCCTCGTTTTGGCGCGTTTATTTTCTTTTTCCGTTTCAGTTAGGCTACTCTGGCGCTCAGGTTGTCGCAATTTTTAAACACACGCAACTTAGAGCAGTGAACAGGACCACAACCAATCAGAGGCAAAGACCCACCCGAGCTCTGTCTCTTGTTGGTTTAGACCACGATATGATCCTACCATGAGTGTGAGTTTCGGTCACAGGAGAACACAGAGAGATGATGTGCTTGCGAAAGAAATCTATTTTTTCACCCAGGCAGCGTCAGGTGCACCAGTGCGACCTAGAAAAAATGTTAGTCGCACTCTTAAAAATTTTGGTCGCATGTGCGGGAGCCCTGTAACACAACAATACAGCGCGAGTTGTTTTGGTTTCATGGGCAAGGGCGACATCTGCTGGATCAAAAAATTGCATATAAAGCCTTTAAAGCAGTTATTATAACAGATCAAATCATGTTTGATTGTATTCATCAAAGCAGTGAAGTTGGTTTGATTTAGTTCTTAAAAGTAATGTGACTCAAAAGAAAAACAAATGACAGGAATAAAGTTAACGTGTATGTCAACCAATAAAAATGATCACATAAATTGATGAGTTCTCAAATAGTTCTACTCAGTGTGACTGACAGGAGAGATAATCAGAGGGGCAGAGTTTTTACCACTATTGTTGTTGCAGTGATTAAATAATGGCAGACCCCAATTTAAACAGCAGGACAGTGGAAGAATGGCATCCCGTAGGGTGGTGCAGTTTGGCAGAATTTAGATCTATAAAATGGAGATAAAGTTTCATGTCGGCTGTTTCAGGTTAAACTAGCGTATCAACCAGAGCGATGTGTTACAATGTGTAAGGCCAACATGCCTGAGCCAAATGTGGTTACACATCGCTCCGGTTGACGGCAATGCTAACGTTAGACACACTCTGCAAACCTATTTGACATTTGCTGTTTAGTCTGAAGTATTCGGTCAAATTCAACAATCACCTGAGTTTTGCAGGAAAGAAGTAAATGTTGATGAATTTTTCCTCAGAGGGAAACAGAGAGACTGGTGTTGACTGCTGTGTCATCAAGGCACGGTTTAATTTCACTCTGACTGCAGGTAACGTGATCTCAGTCAAACTCTCTTCAGGACGTTTTATTGCCCTCTTGGGAGAACTTCTGATAAAGACTTTGGAACAACATGGGCTCTGACTTCTTTAGTTATGCTTTATTGTAAAATTGGCAGCAGCCAAAAGAACTTAACAAAAGGACGCACGTTAAAAGACAATTTGTGCAAGATATGTTCGAGCACACTTGAACCAACGGACTACTTTTATGATCCCACAAACACTCCAAACTTCATCTCACAGTTTATGGCCTTTTAATCAAGCTGTTCTTCCCGGAGAATAAAGAACACCAGCTGATTTGACAACTTAAATTTTAATCAAAGAACAAGGTGACCCTGACCAGGCCCGTCCAAGGCAATAGTTGGGCCCCTGAAAGGCCCAGTGAAAGGTCCCTTCTGGATCTGATTTGATTAACCAACACATGTCAGTGTTTCCCCTAGGATGGAGTTGTAGCAGCCCTGGTGAAGTGGAACAATGTTTTAGTTGCGTGCAATTTAAAAAATATATCTTCTTTAATTATTAACATTTATTGGACAGAATAGTCAACCAACAACCACCCAATACAGTAAAATTACATAACTAAATCAGTGAAATCCCAAAGAGCTGTGCCTCCAAACCATGCATCTTACCAGGGCTTTTCTATTTTCGTGGTGGTTGGACGTCAGCTGTAGTCTTTGCAGTGTGTTCAAGTACAACTTTTTGGCCAAGACAATGTTAGGCGACGCCACAGACGGCCTTCTTCACCACTAGTTCTTTGCTACCTGCTTGGTGTGTCAGGGCCTTTAAATGTACAAGGAAATATCCACAAACACTTGCCCACCACAGTGCCCATATGATTTGCTTTAGCCTACTTTGTATTTGTTTTTTTAAATTATCCCTGTATGGCCGTCACCTTACTCCTTCAGCCCCTTCCCCTTCACCACCTGCCTGTAGCGCAGAATTAGCTTAATTAGCCATTTACCCTTTTGTAGTAAAAATGTTTTTGCCCACAAACATACTTACTTTCAGCCTAATGATTCTGCATTCCTCTTCCTCTTGAGAGGAATGCGGCCTTAATCCTTAATCGTCTGCTGAGAAGACGATCAAACTTGACTATCTAGAGGAAGTAAAAGTCGTAACAAGGTTTCCGTAGGTGAACCTGCGGAAGGATCATTACCGGTTTTGAGATCCCCGCACCCGAGGCCGCGTGGCCCCACGGTGCTGGCGGCGGATATGTCAGAAAAACACATTTGTCTACAACAAATGTGTTTTTCTGACATATCCGCCGGTAATGATCCTTCCGCAGGTTCACCTACGGAAACCTTGTTACAACTTTTACTTCCTCTAGATAGTCAAGTTTGATCGTCTTCTCGGCCTCAAGGCAAGGGTTTCAGCATCTGTGACTGAAGGAAAGTGTAATGTTATTTGTGATTTTGCTAAAGGCTGCCACAACACTCAAAGTGAATAAATAACAAATGAAAACTGAGCATATAGGCTGCACTAAAAGTTCAAGGCATGTAAGGGAATTTTGTCAAACTGATTTTTTTTACAGTCTCTGCCGAATCACCTTTCTATGACCGATCAACTGGTAATTACCATCTTGAAGAAAGGTGTTCTGCTATTGATGAAGTCTCTTTTTAAGATCGATGCAATGTAACAATCGGGAGAGAACCATCCATGAGATGGGAGATGAGAGAGATAAACGTCAGAGATGCTGTGCCACAAGCTGCAACTGTAGGAACTACACTAACTATGGTGATACAGATCTTCTTCCGAGATGGTATTTCTGGTATTTCTTGGAGCATCCACGTTGTTGTAACCCTTCCGCATCGTCAGCAGGGATCTCTGGGTCTCAGGTGTTTCGCCCCTTAACCTGAACACCTCGCCTGAGTGGGGCAGCGAAGACTGACTAGCCTTCACCTGCAGAAGGGTTCCAACTGTGGGCTCTCTTCAGCCACAGCCATCTTGAGCTGGACTCGGCTGCTGCAGCTATGTCCCTGGTGGCTTTCTTCAGCTGTTTGGGCTCCAGGCCCACCCTCTGGAGGAAGTAGCGCACCGATTTTGCTGGGAACCCGTGGCAGCCGACTTCAATGGGGTAGCTGGTTGCATGCCACCCCTTTAAAACAGGTTCGTCGACCAGGTCTTGGTATTTGGCTTTTTTCAGTTGGTGGGACGTGGCTAGCCTCTCTTCCCAGGGCACTGTGAGCTCAGCAACTGTGATACTGTGATGGTTTTCGTGCTCCTGGATAGCAGTAATTGTCGGACGGCATTATCTCATTTCCTTTGGAAAAAGGAATACAATATAACATACATCACAAACGTGCAATATATTTATCTGTATAGTAATTTTACTCATAGCTTTTCTTTTTATATCTATTTATATCTGCACCTTATTTTTCTATGTAAATACTTGCTGCTGTTTTTTATCCTGCACTACGAGCCAAATGCAACAAAATTTTGTTCTTATCTGCACTGTAAAGTACAAGTTTGAATGACAATAAAGAAAGTCTAAGTCTAAGTCTAAGTCTAAGTAAAGGATGGTCCAGTGTATCCTATGCTAAAAGGAGGTTATAAAGGAAGCATTGACGCACCTTTCCTTAGCTTTTACCACGAATCATGGCCGCCACTTAAATGTTTCCGGGTCATTTCACTCAGTTAGGAACCTTCAAAGCAAAAAAGACAATTTGAATGCACCCAATGGGCTGCCGCTCATGTCTCTCAGATGACATCCACGTTTCCTCCACTTGCGTCCCTCTTAGCCCCTCCCACCAGAGATGCACGGAGAGATGCGAGGAATCAAAGCAGAGGAGAGAGGAACGAGGAAATAGGATTTAAGAGACATGAGACGTTCTTTCCTCTCACAGTGTTTAGTCTGTGTACTTTACCTGATAACAAAATCATGAAGAACAACCTGCAGTCTGCTAATAAAAAACATACAGACCATTTCTACAGGCACAAAGCACCATTTTATTAGGATCTAAATTTCTGCAAAACAGGATGCATAACATTTTCAAACCATACAATCATTAACGATCATGATGAATGTAAAACGTGTTTCTGAATGACTGACTGACTCCTCCCACTCTGTCAGACTGTCACGCTCATCATAATCAGATTAAAAAGGTCAAACAGTGTGAGTGATCATCAACAGAAATATCAGCTGTTATGATAATGAAGGAGGCGTTTATGATCCTTCGGTTTTAACACTTTTTGTTTGATGGTGAATCAGAAAACAGATCAAACAAAAGGTTGAGGAGTGATCAGCCTCCATTGTGTTGATTTTATAAAACTTATACTAAATATTTTATTGTTAATTACTCATGTCATACACTTGATTTAAAACACCACGATCTGTAACCCGGACTGTCGACTGATTGACGGCGACGAGCTTCATATCAACTGTTGAGTCGGTCGCCTTCACAGATCTAATCAGTGAAATACCTTCACCTCGTCACAGCACCGTTCTGCCACAGCGAAACTAAATTATGTCAACATTAATATGAAGATTGAAGCAAATATAATAACGCCTTAGTTACTTTCCCCAGTAACTAGTTACTTTTATAATCAGTAACTCTGTTAGTAACTTAGTTACTTTTTGATTGTAGTAACTAGTAACTGTATATAGTTACTATTTTTAAGTACCGTGCCCAACAGAAGATGTGACATGCCATGCACACAGTGTCCCCGTTTATAACCCGTTAATTTTGTTGTGACATTCTTAGGTATCAATCCCAGTATGGTTGAAAGGGGCCAGTGTTAATACGTACAGCGGGGAAAATAAGTAAATATATTTCCGATGGGGCTATTGGGATGAAATTTTCACCAGATGTCAGAAACAACCCAAGTTATCCACACATACAAAGAAATCAAAACATATATATGTCCATGAAAAAAAGTTATGTGTAATTAAGTGAAATCATAATGGGAATAAATATTGAACACATGAAGAAAAGGAGGTATAAAAAGGCATGAGAAGCAATCCTGCCCCCTATCAGTGCAAATTAATATCAACTGGATTGGTCCTAATTGATGGCCTATAAAAAGGTTTCTCATTACCAAGGTGTCACACAAGAAGCATTTCATGATGGGTAAAAGCAAAGAGCTGTCGCAAGACCTTCGTAAGCTTATTGTAGCAAAACATAAAGATGGCATTGGTTACAGATGCATTTCTGAACTTCTGAATGTTCCAGTGAGCACTGTTGGGGCCATTATGCAGAAGTGGAAAGAACATCATTACACCACTAACCGGCCATGACCAGGTGCTCCTCACAAGATTTCTGACAGAGGAGTCCAAAGAATAATTAGAAGAGTTGCCCAAGAACCAAGAACCACTTGCGGAGAGCTTCAGAAAGACCTGGACTCAGCAGGTAAAGTTGTTTCAAAGAAAACAATTAGTAATGGACTCAACCGCCATGGCCTTTAAGTATGCTCAACGCGCAACACACCACTGCTCGAGAAAAGGCATGTGGAAGCTCGTTTAAACTTTGCCGCACAACACTTGGACAAGCCTATGAAGTACTGGGATAATATAATCTGGTCAGATGAGACCAAAATTGAACTCTTCGGCTGTCATAGCATACACTATAATTGTTTTCTGACCAAACAGTTCTGGGGACTTTTTGAAGAGGAACTATCCACTAGGGAGTTCCCTGAGAACTACAGACGGTGATGTTCTTGTGTTTCAAATACATGGGCCAGACGTGGCCATCGAACAGGCCGGGGGGGTCTGGCACAGTGTAGTTCCTAGAGCTCCATGGGGACTTAAATTTTGTCTGCATTCGCACCGCCATGGTGCTGGTTCATATGAACCTTAAAGTGACGTAAGCCAGCAGACAGTTGCTATAGCAACGTCATTCTTGCAACACAACAGAAAATATGGAGGATACCGTGGTGGGAGCTGTTTGTGTGTTGTGTGTGATTGGGTTCATGAATGAAATTGAGTTTAAAAGGAGACGTGCAAGAGAAAAAGCCTTTGAGAGACTAAGAAGATGGACAGCAAAGAGGAGACGACTTATTCAAAAGTTGGCAGCACTTCACACGATTGAGGCGGACAGGAGACGAGAGCGCTGCAGACTTAAGTTAGCTGCCCTAAAGTGCTCTAATTTTTAGCTTTAAAAATTTGAAGTGCTCAAAGCAGTTAATATGAGCCTAACTTGGCATATTTGTATTCTGTATTTACTTTTCTAACCAACATTTAAACTCGTATTTCATTAATTTACCCAGTTTTTAGCCTGCAATACATTTGTTTACTATTTCAATATATATTTCTGTCTCTATTATCCATTTAGGCTACTTTGTCTTTAACCTGTATTGTATTAGCATATTTAAGACCGTCTGTCTTTAGGTAGCTGTCTCACAGACTGCCTGGTGGTGATGGGTACTAGATCTAGCAAACACTAGGGCAAGCAACTCCTTGTTATTACTTTCAAATAACGTTTTATAAAGTCAGGGTTACCCCGCTTACCCTCTTCAGGGGGTTCCAATAGCGGACTGCAGCTACCAGAGCTGCCGCTGGCGATAGCCTCTAAAAGCCCGACTGCTGAGTCCTTCATGCCCGCATCAAGCGTACCACTTGCTGGTTTTCCTGTCAGATCCGCTCTGGTTGTTGTGGTCTTTTAAAAAAATCTTGTTTCAGCTTTTTGATCTTCTAATGGCACTGCTTAGCTGTGTGGCTGATACCCAAAGTAGCGAGCTGGCATGAGATACTTTGAAATATTTTGATGTTCCGCTTTGATGACTCAAAATCCTGTTGGATTTCCTCCGTCGCGTAAATGCATAATAACACCTGGACTTCGTTGTCGGTCCAATTTTCTGTGTTACTTACTTTTTTATGATTTACAGAGCTTCTTCAACTGATATTTAGGCCACTGTTATTTGATAACGTTTACTGTGGGATTTAAAAAATGGCGGTTGGTGGTACTGGATTGGCTCTTGTGTTCGACCAATCAACGTACACTAACGTATGGAATCCCGTGCATGTACGTCACTCAAAGTCCCTCTTTTGATGAGAGAGTACCTACCATGAAGCAGGAGCTAAAAAGGTTCCTCTAAACAGGGTTATAGGAACTACAATAGTTCATAGTTCCTGCGGTCCGGAAACAATAAAAAAGAGGGAATGTTCCAACAGCTCATAGAACTATGAAAAAAAGGAGGAATGGGCAAAAGTCACAGCTGAGCAGCTGTATTAAATACATTTCAGCAAGTGTGTTCAGTACTTTTTCCCTGTGTCATTCCACTTTATTACACACAACTTAATTTATGGACTTTTTTGATTTTGATTTCTTTGTATGTGTGGATTACTTGTGTTGTTAACTACATCTGGCGTTCAATACATATTTTCCCCGCCGTATAACATCCCCATCCCAGTTATTAAAAAAAGGCCTTCTATCTGACTTCAAGAACGACTAGTATTATACTAGTAGTAGTACTATTTCCTGAATGGAGATTTCCATCCATATGTGACAGCAGCCCTGAAGCGGAATTTCTCCACCCTCCTGTCCAATGATTTGGCCTGGAATTGGCTCACTTGCCCCCCTTTGACCCCTAACGGGATAAGCGGTATAGGCAATGAATGAATGATCAGACGGGGGGAGTTTTTACCACCATGATTGAGATCAGGACTAAGGTATGGGGAGAGTTTCTCTTTGAAGTAGCAGCCAGTGAAGGAGTAGATCAGAGCAGCAGCATCGACGTCATAAAAGGAGACCAGACTCCCCTCAAAATCCACGAATACCCCCACCTTCTTAGGGTGAGATTTCAGAGAGAGACTGACTGGAGGGTCAGAAAGGGCTTTGAATTCTTGTTCATTCCTTAAACAAATTGTCCAGTGACCGTTCAGAGGATTCAGGATGATTTTTCCCTTCCTCCCCATCGACTCTATGGCCACTCCTACAGTCCAGTCGGTCTTCCCTTTAACCTGAACCTCGTAGTAAAATCTGCCATAAGAGAATCTCTGCTTTGATAAAACACTGGGACAAGTATCAAATCTCTCCGGACTATCTGGGAGGTTCTTCTTGACATCGTTGTGATGAACTTGTTTGCCATCGTCAGACAGGATGAGTTCGGGATGTGCTGAATCAGGATCCAGTGTCACATCCACTGCAAACCTCTGGGCCATCCTCAGTTCTGCCTTCTTTATCAGCTTACCGAGTGTCTCCTCCAGCTTGTTCACAGCTCTCACAACATTCCCCTCATATGAAGGTGGATGGACTCTGACTTGAGTCCAGTCCTTGGTGGGTGGAGCAGCTTTCAGAGACGTGAAGTTTTGGAGGAGTTGAAGGGGGTCTTCAGAATGTGAGAGCTGCTTCACCTCAGCGCTTCTCTTCTCCAGCTCAGAGATTTCCTGTTCCAGCTCCTTGATGAAGCCTTCAGCCTCTTTCTCCATCTTTCTCTGCGTCATTTGGATTGTGTTGATGAGCTCGGCCTGGCTTCTCTCAACAGATTCTTTCAGAGCGGTGAAGACCTGAACACCTTCTGTGGTCTCTCTCTCTGCATTCTTATTACTGAGCTCCACTGAGTGCTTGATCTCCCAAATTTTTGTTTTTTTCCTTTGGATTATCTGCTGAATTTCAGCCTCTGTCTTTCCCAGCTCGGTCTTCTTTCCTTCATATTCTTCTTTCAGAGGAACAAAATCATGCATCTTGTGGTCTAAAACGCTGCACAGCATGCAGACACACATCTGGTCGTTCTTACAGAACAGCTCCAGCAGTTTGTCGTGCTTCTTACACATCCTCTCGTCCAGGTTCTCCACGGGGTCGATCAGCTGATGTCTTTTCAGACCTGAACTCGTCAGATGAGGCTCCAGGTGAGTCTCACAGTAAGAAACCAGACACACCAGGCAGGACTTCTGAGCCTTCAGTTTGGTTCCAGTGCAGACGTCACAGGGAACTTCTCCTGGTTTGGACACGTGTTGCTCTGAGCTGCTGCTTCTAGCTTCCTGTTGAGCTGACTGTTTGTACTGAGCAGCCATCTCAGAGATGAACATATTGACCTGTAGCTTAGGTCTGGTGCAGAAAAACTCTTTACAGTTGGGACACTGACAGAAGTCATTACCATCCCAGTATGTAGTGATGCAGGTTTTACAGAAGTTGTGTCCACATGGTGTGGCAACAGGATCAGTGAACACATCCAGACAGATGGAGCACAGGAACTGATCTTCAGTCAGCAGACACCTGGCAGCAGCCATTTCGATAACCTGAGGACACAAGTCAGAATGACGAGTTAAAACAAAAATCAAAACATCTACATTCATTTATAAATTAAAAAGAAAATCTGCACAAATTTCTGTAAATGTATACATTAAAATCAGCTTCAAATGTACAGGGCAAGCGCTAGGGACATGTGGAATAAGTATCCATTAGATGTTTCTTGTCAACTATCACAGACCTTTCAAAATAAAACATTAAATATAACCTCAACCAATATCTTAAAAATTCGATCTGGAGAAAATGACCAAGCCTGCCTTTAAAGTCCTTGAAAAAGTGCCTAAAACTCCTGCACAGTCTAGCTTTCAATGTTTTGGTCACATTGCAAGTAGGACAGTGTGCATTACTTTCCCATGGACCCAGTTTATAAAAAAGATGTGCAAAGTTTTTATTTACAGTTTTCAAAAAAAAATGCTCCATTGAAATGTAAAGAAAAATACTCGCTGCCTTCTGCAAAAAAACAACAACCTAATAGTTGATTTTAACACAAGTCCCACCTCTGACAGGGTAAATAGCCAATCACAGTTGAGGATTTTTGGGGTGGCAAGCAGGGTGACCAATGAGATTTCGCCAGCCTGTTATTTTGGCGCTCCAAGCACCAGGGTCCGTATTCACAAACATTCTGAGAATCCTCAGAGAGCTCCTAACTTAGCTTCAAAAATCTGCGCAAGGATTTTTAGCCTAGGAGTGATTTCGGAACATTCTCAGAGCGACTCTGAGCGAGGAAGAGACAGAAACTTTAATCTTAGTTTTTTCAGAAGCTGTGACTGTCTTAGAACCATCTCGTCCTAGCATTAAAAATACTTTAACCTTCTTTGATAAATTATCAATTAATAGTGTAACTGAGACCATCGTCAAAATGAAAAATACCACCTGTTCTCTCAATACTATTCCTACCCACTTTCTTAAAAAAACTCTTGCAACAACTGTTCCATTTGTTAAAAATGTATTGAACTCCTCAATCTCATCTGGTTTGTTCCTGATCATTTCAAAGCGGCAGTAGTTCAACCAATCCTAAAAATACCCACTCTTGACCCAGACGTTCGCAACAATTTCAGGCCAATTTCAAAACTACTGTTGCTTGCAAAGGTTTTGGAAGAAATTGTAGGAGAGCAGGGGTCTCATTTATAACCGTTGTGTACGCACAAAACGGGGTCAAGACCAAACGGCAACCTCCGGTCTTGAAAAATGAAGCCAATGCGGAAGTAAAAAAAACTGCAGTTCGTCGAGTGTCCGCTTGAGGCTGGCACCAGAAGCTCCAGAAATTAACGTGTTTACAGCCTGGTACAAAAAACTAAATATATCTGATAAGTTGACAGCCTCATGTGCTCCCACTGTGTGAATTTTCTTAAGACTCAACAGATTTTATTTTATTACATAAAACGGCTCTGCCCATATACGGGTTGTGGCAGATTTGATTGACAGCTCTGCGCCATCTGTGTGTCAGGTCAGGAGGCTAGGTAACAGCTTGATCCGTCTGATTTCTCGTCTTTTTTACTTCGTTTGGAGAGTTTGTTTAACACATATCTGACAACATACACGGCTTGCTGTGCGGTTAACAGACCATCCAAGAAGTTGATGCTTCAGTTTTTTTCAGTAACTGATATAGTAGTGTTATATTTACTGCTTACTCATGTGTTGGTATATTTACGGACCTAGCTTGTTTAGCATTAGCTTGTAAACCAGTTGGCTAACTGTACTCAGTATAGCCCATTATTTACGGTCAATGGTTTAGCCGATCAAGACTCCCATTCATGCCAAAGAAGCTAATGGCAACATAGCTAGCCAGGACTATTAAACTGGGGGAAATTTTAATTCTGAAATGTTAGAAATTTTAATTGGCAAGATGTTGAAAAGACAGAGTTTGTGTGATGTTAAAAACTAAAGGTCCACCTCGGTGGTTAACCGTAGACTGTAAATATGATTATCTGACGTTATGATGAATGTTATACTCCACGTAAATGTCGACATTAAAAGACAAATTTTGTGTATAAAGTTAAACAGTAATCGGACGATACCCACTGGTTAAACATGTTACAGAGGATGATATTAATGTTACATGGTTGACGTTCATTTTGACGGCCCACAAACTCAAACTTCCAACATTTTCTGTCATTATTATTATAACATAAACAGGCGATAACAAGTACAAAACTAAAGATGTCGACAGACAGAGATCGACTATATGTTGAAGCTTGAACATAAAAATTAGATTTGTGCAAACAACAAATTCAATTTTTTTCTTTTTGTATGAGTTCAGGGAAAATTAATATGGTTATTAATATAGTTCTTCATCGTTACAGATGCTTACACAGAATATAGCAGTAGAAATATAAAAGATATAAATAACATATGGAATGAAAATAAGATATAAAGCCATAAGTATGAGAAAAAGTTTGAAGAATACAGCCATGTACAGAGCTCATGATAATAATAAATGAGCTACTGTATGTTGGGTACTGAAGCACAGAGAGTTGGGACCTGTTCATGATTTAAATAATTCAGGTAGTTTTTGTTTCATGTTAAGATGAAGTACTATCCACAATAAACTGCTCTATTTTTCCTCCAAAATCTGAGGTAATTTGATGTGGAATATCATTGTGCAAGTGAGTGAGAGAGCTGAAAATACCATGATTACAATAAGGTTTAACTTCTTAACTTTGAAAAGATGTTGATTACCTGAATACTGTACCTTTGTTGTCTGGGTAGTACACTGCTGAATTTATAAATGTACTCTTACACACAGATGAATACAGAAAATGCACAAACAAATTGATTTAATGAATAACTGCTATTTTCTGTCTTTCTTTGCCATCCTGATGACCCCGCACTAAAAAGTAAATTTTCACCTGGATCCATGTCACATGCTCAAGCTTCTTCAGAATTATTTTTCAACAGTTGAAGTTCTGGTGAGATAAGACGGCAGTACATCAAGGAGCTCCACAAGCTTCAGGAGGAGGAAGGTTTGCACCTTGGAAGACTGTATTCATGCTTCAGCTGTTCAAATAAAAATAGATCTCCTCCCAACAACTTGCAATCTCATCTCATCTCATCTCATTAGGTCTATCCTCATAATTAGTCACAGAGCAGACGGAGTTTCCCACGAAAAAATGTGGCCAAACAATAAAACGTTTTTGTTCGTTGAGCAAACTTTTGATTAATAATATCATACAGTGAGGGAGACTGCTGACTGAAGTGACCTGACAATATGTATAAGTCAGTGTGGGTCCCATAAACATGTAAACATTGCAGATATTCTCATGCGTAATGATGAACGGTGTATGTTTTCGCACTTAAAACAGCGTGAATGCAGCAGCGACGTGGTGTCATTCTCTGATTTTTGTAAAGTTTGTGATCCTCCTGCTGCAACAAACTACCGATATGTCCCTTTTATCTTTCACTTCATTCACAAACTCCTCCGTTTCTGGGTCAGAATGTTTTGTTTCTTCGTCTAAACTTCCAGGTTTCGCTGCGATCCAGCGCTGGAAACCTTTAATCTGTCCCGTTGTTTGTATTTATTTTTATTCACAAGCTGCTTTGTATTGACCGTTTATGGTTGAATGTGGGCGTATAGAGAGCGGAACATGGGACTAATCTACGTGCGCACATTTCCAGATGGATCGTGATTTATAAAGGGAACATTGTGTGCAGGTGTGCTTACGAACGGTTTTATAAATCTGAATTATTTTATGCGCACGCCATTTCCGGGTTTTTGGCGCACGTACATTTTTAGTATGAATTCTACGCACTCTTTTATAAATGAAACCCCAGATCATTTCATTTATGAACGAAAATTATGTCTTCGAAGAATTTCAGGTTTTAGGGCAGTTTACAGGACTGAAACCACACTCCTTAGGGTTTTAAATGACTTCTTTTAGCAGCTGACTCTGGGAAACACTGTTGATCATAGTATTTTAATCAGGCGTCTTAAAAATTGGATGGGCCTTTCAGGATTGGTTTTAGATTTGTTTTATTCTTACTTCTGGGAGAAATCTTTCTGTGTGGAATTTTAAATCAACATCAGTTCCTTTAGCATATGGAGTTCCACAGGATTCTGTTCAGACCCTCCACAGACCCCGCAAGAAGCTTGAAACCTGATTCAATGAGTCGCAATGTGCAGCACATGGCTAATTTACACAACATTATTTGTCAAGTCTGGCTAGCAAGCCAGCCTTTCTGTTAAACATGCTGTCTGATCATATTTACTGTTTGGTTGCCATAGGTAGGCTACAGATGTTGAGAGAAATGTGTGCTAGCTGAAGGTAACTTCATACAGCTTTCTGGTTCATTATTATCTGAGGCAACATTAAAGTGACAGCTAGTCAACAAATGTATTAAGGCCAGAGGAAATATAAACTTAATGAAAACCAGCAGGAGCTAAACATCAGGTTCATATATTGATAATGTTATGATAGAAGAGAAAATATTGTCATACTTGATGACTGTATTATGATGCTCTCTCAGACACTTGCCCTGAGAGCTACTTGCATAGTGACTGCCCTTCACATCACCCCTTAGTGGAACATGGTAAGCCCTGTTCTGCAAATTCATCCCATTTATAAAAAGGGACTGAAGGTTAGGAGCACAGGTTTTTCATGTTTCACTGAAGCTTTATCAAAAAGTTAAAACAGAACATAGATATAGACAAGCAATTGTGTTTTTCTTATTGTTTGCACTGCTTCTTTAGTCGGTCTGAATGCTAAAATCATCTGTAAATAAACATTTTAAAGTTGATATTTTTAAAAATCTTCCCGGGGGGGGGGGGGGCATGCCACCAGACCCCCCTAGGAGGTTTGGATACATGTCACCTTTTTCATCCCAGATGAGTTTGCACCACTGTTTTAAAAGTATATAGCCTACAAGATGTTTCAAATCACATGCTCACTTGTGCAGCAGCTTCTACACATGCTGATTGCGATCAGCAGGAAAAGGGTTAATCAGTGATTGGATGCACCTGTGGAGGTAACCACAGGACAAACTCAAAATGCATGTCTCACTTTGTACTGAAAAAAGTCAGAGGTGGATTGAAATGTCTGCATAAATATTTTCTGTCTATTCTGCCCAACTACAAGTCAAAAATATTCCTCATGTAGAGTTTTGAAAACATTCCTCTGTTTTCTCCTCAGTTTGAGAAACTCTTCATCCTGTTAAAAGTCCTCCTCACAGTTTAACACTTGAGGAGTTCTCTTAAGTACGATGTAGGATTAGAGCCATGTTAAAAAAATATATATTTTTTTGATTTCGAGATTGAACTCGTAAATATACGAGAATAATCTCGTAAATTAACGACTTTAATCTCGTAAATTAACGAGTTCGAGACCAGCCTGCGCGAAAATGATGAAAGTATTCTTAAAGTCTTTAAAGAATAAAATAATAAAGTCATTATTTTAGTCTACATCAGAAGAGCATCAGCAGCCTGTTCTCAAATAACAAATATGGAGCATCTTGTTATACTTTAGTCAAGGTTTCACTAATAAGTAAATGTGTAGTTGGTAAAAAACAGTGAGTTCAAGAGAAGTTTTCACTTCAACTTGCAAGAACTTGTTTATCTGTAAAATGAAGTATGAACAGGACACAAACTGGCTCTGCACATGAAACACTTTAACAAGGCAGACAAGTGCAACAGACAAAAATAGTTGTGTGGGGCTGTGCTTTTGCAAATATGAAACTACACATGCTTTTGGCTTATCATTTTCAGATTTTCATAAAATATCAGGAACCTGAAAAGATACTGCAATAAACTGTGGCTTTTCCGAAGAAAGAACCACACTGACTTGGAGGAAGTTGTCTAAAGAGGAAAAGACTCTACTTTCATCATTTTCTACTTTCATCATTTTGCGCAGGCTGGTCTCGAACTCGTTAATTTACGACTTTATTCTCGTAAATGTACGAGTTTAATCTCGAAATTAATTTGTGGCCCTTATCCTCCGTCGTACTTAAGGGCTAAGACACTTTGAGAATAACTTTAATCTTTACAAGGATCTAGTCTTAACTTTGAGGGGAAAGAGTTTTCGTAGAATTTTGTCACTAGGAGCAACTCTTAATAGGCCTACTTAAATCCCTGTACACGCACCATCACAACAGAGTTATGCATGACGGCCCACCTGACTGCAGTTGGAAACGGTGAAATTAGCCTGTTTGTTTCTCTATTCTCTCTGATGTAAACCAGCCTGAGTGTACCCTACTGTTTAGTGGTCTAGTTAAAACAACATGTCTGAAGATTCAGTACGTTTTTCTGTCTTTGTAGAGCAGCATACTGACCAGGAAAGCCTTCAGTTGATTTTGTCGTCCGAGGGAAATAACAGACCGCACCCTGGACCAAAAGCTGTGCTGTGGCTCAGATTGAATTTCACTTTCGTTTCTGAGTCACGGTGTTACCTAAATTCAGCTCGGGTAACGCAGGTTTACTGCCATCTGGAGCCAACACAGTGACACAGCATGGAACAAAATGATTCCTGACTTTCCCAGTAAAGGAACCTTAAAGTATAAAAAGACAACACAACAACAAGAGAGAGCTTTGCAAGATATTATTTTATTTTACAAGATAATCTTTTGTTCCTTTTGGCCTCCGGTCCCTTTGTTTTTTGTTTTTCTATGATAACCTTGGAGGGATATTTAAATTGAATAAAGCTCAGGGTTAAATCTTAAATCTGTGTGGTGTCCTCCTATGTTTTCTCTGTCCATGTTTTTCAGCCCAGGTTTAGTTAATTTTGGTAAAGGAGGTCGTAACATCCATCACATTTATCTACACGTTCATCAGAAGTTTATCAGCAGAAGTCCAATGGCGTCTCTGAAGTCTTTCCTATATACACTGAATTGAGCAGGTGAAAGTTTCTCAGCCACTCTCACCTGCACTCCCTCTCTCTCTCTCTCTCTCTCTCTCTCTCTCACACACACACACACACACACACACACACACACACACACACACACACACACACAAAGGTCAGCCTGCCTACACAACTGGCATGAGTGAGCTAATGAAACAAACCTCAGTGCTGCTCTCTAGTGTGCAATACTAAACTTAAACACCATAAGACTGACTGTGCCTGTGCATGCAGGACAAGATTATTTTTTTAAACAGAGGAGGAAATACCCGCCTGCAGTCAGGTTTTAGAGCTCATCACAGAACGGGAAATCTCCTTTAGTGTTGTAGTCAAGACCTCACTAACAGAGACCAAGACATGGCCGAGACCAGAGTGCCCCGATTCTGTAACTAGACCAAGATATTTAGAGATCAAGATCAAAACCAAGACCATAAATATCGTTGACAAATCATCATCTTGAGTTTAGGGGGCATGTCCCTCACTTAGGCCGTAACACCGGGAAGTTTGCTGCCGTAACCGGGGGACAAAAATCAAACTACAAATGACTTGAAGTGATCCGTAGTTTTGAAAAGGAGCGTTTTCCTTCTAATGTAATCACAGTAATGATGGAGACAAATAGCCTATCAGGGGTGGTCTTGGCTGGAGTCTGCCTAGTCTGAGGTCGAGACAAGTCACAGTAAAAATACTTTCACTTCTGAGTCAAGACCGAGACCTTCAAAAGACCGACCAAGACCGATCTCGAGAACAACACAACTGCCCTTCATATCAAATCAGTCCTATTAGAAAAATGTCAAAAACAAGCCACTCCTTTAGACCAAAAACCTGCAAACAGTCATTCATGCTTTTGTTTTAACGAGGTTAAATTATTGTTACTTTCTTTTTCTCCGTCTGCAGAAAAAATAAATCTCTCTCCTCTCTTCAGCTGGTCCAAGATGCAGTCGCCAGGGTTTCAACAGGTACCAAGAGACACAGTGCGGGGATCCTCGCATCCTCGCACTGCGCTGGCGGTTAGTTTTAGAGTTGATTATAAAGTTAACCCAGAATGCTTTTGCCCTATAGCTATATTTCTGACTGGATCTCCCAGGCTTTGGGGTGCTCAAATGCTGCTCTCCTGGTGGTTCCAAACTCAAGAATAAAAAACAGAGGTGACTGAGTGTTCACCACCCGGACCACCAGACTCTGGAACAACCTCCCAGAGGAGAGTATAGCTGAATCTAAGTCTCTTCTTAAAACTCACTTTTAGGGTCTAGCCTTCCTGGGATCCTCTATCCTCCCACTGCATTTGTTATTTTTTGTTTTCTATTGTTACTGGTTTTTTTATGTTTAGGGGCGTATCCAGACTGAGGTGGCCTACCTGGGGTCACAGACTTCAGCAGGGGCGGCATGAAGTTTAAGATCATCCAGCGACTGGGCTGAGTCAACAACAGTGTACAAATATACAACGAATGCCCCCCAGTTATACGTTCACAGAGATGGTAGCGGTGGCGTGCAGACAGTCTATGGTCGTGCAGCGATCACAGGGAATAAACGTCACCCCCCCCTTCCACTCACTCCAGGTGAATTCTCCAGAGAATATTCTGCTGCGTTCTCACATCAGCTCACTGACTTTCTGCTGTAAAAAATGATTGGGGCTGGCAGGAGAAACTCCGGGTGAAGAGAGAAACATTCAGCTGTTTGCATTCACACATGACGCTCCCCCTGGAAATATCAGGAGATTTTCAGGAGTTTTGTGCAGGTGTGAAAGCCCTACAGGAGACATTATGAAGCCACTCATGTTGTTGTCATTATTCCACAAGCGGCTTTTCTTTTTCAGTATTCCACTTGACTCAGGGCTCAGTTGAGTTTATGTTCTCGAACTGTAAAAGTAGTCAACACCCGCTTCCCGGTGTGCTCGCTCTCATTGGCTGTTGCAAGTATTCCATCGGAGGCAGCCAGATTTGTAATTGTAAATATCAAACACGTTTGAGGGAGGCTCCTCTTGATCTGGAGCAGCAGAATAATAACACCACACACTTGAGGATTGTTTCGAGAAGCACCCTGATAATTGGGAGCGGGATTGGGCCTTAAATCGGCTTGTACGTAGCCAGCTGTATGCCCACAATGAATCTTCAGCGTGAAGCAAAAACAACTAGAAAACACTGTTTAAGCACCCCAGCCCTCGTCCTCCAGAACTTTCAGGCAACAATAATCACAATACAGAAAAAATAAACTCCGTCTCTAATTGTATTGTTTGCTTTTTTTTGGTCATGTAGGCCCTATGACTATTATCATTATTTCAAACTGTTGAATAACTATTATAAAAACTCCTCACAGGAGCTTTATAGAAGTGAAAATACTCCATCATGAGTAGGAACTCGTTTATAGGACGTGAGTATGAGCGAGACAGTTCTTCCCGGCGTCCCTGAACGCACCATGGTGAGTCCTGGGTATTTAACATTCTACCCTGGACAGCGGCAGGTTGTTGCGCAAGCGCAGCCCATTCAGTGTGCATGAATACGGAGTGAGGAGAGGACAGGAGCTCTGGGAGTACTGGGACTGGGAGGACACAGCGGACTGGACGGACCGGACCGGACCCGGGAGCAGGCGGACATGGAGGGACAGAACGGCAGCAGCGGCAGCATCCGCTCCCGGCCGCAGGGCAGCGCGACGGAGAGCAAGAAGAAGAAGAAGAAGATGAAGGAGATCCCCGACAGGGTGACTCTGAAGAAGGAGATTGGACTGCTGAGCGCGTGCACCATCATCATAGGTGAGGCAGGAAAACACGCGAGCTCATGCTGCATGCGGGATCACTTCTTCTTCTCTCTTTCTTTACTGCAGAACTTTTAAAAACAGCTTGAAGAGTCCTGCAGGGTTGGTTCAAACTGCCCCCAAAGTGTTAGAATGACACTGGAACTCCCTGCAGACTGCTAATTAAAAGTCTAATTAGGCTGATGATAGTTTTGCAGCTTATAAAATGAAGGACTCCATGTTTGTTTGCATGTGGCTTCTTCACATCTAACTGACTTGTAGTGCTTACGTGGCTGAAATATATGAAGTCCAGAAGCAGGCTGGTGGTCAGGCAGATGAACATTGTCCGCTGGAGCAGAATGAGCAGCAGGGACATTTAAACACTTCTCAGCACCGTAAATATGAGCAGCGTCCGCGCAGGAGGGATGGAGAGGTGGAGGGGGGCCTGCAGGGCCGAATCTAGAGTCTGTTTGGGGCCCCAGGCAAAAAATGCACAGGGTGTCTCTCAACCAGAGTTTAAAAATAATCTGACACCAAGAAGAAAATCCAAAATTCACATATTGATAAAAAGATCATTCAAAACCAGGACAATAAAAACGTAAATAGGTCATGTCAGCTGAGCTGTCTGAGAGTTTGTTAAAGTGAAATGAGACATTCAAAGATTCAGTGTCTTCTTTTACATCACTTGGACTACAAGGAGACACTGAGGACCACTATCTACGAGAGCCTGAAGAGACAAAATAATATGAGATTAATTGCTATCAAAAAAGTGAATGCATTGAGAGTTTCACTCTGATTTAACCCCAAATTTCTCCTGCCAGCCCCTATAGTATTTTTCTGAATTTGTCGACAACTGTCTTAAAGTCTTGAATGAACTTTAGTGATATAAAAAGAAGTTAAAGGTCAATCAGTAAGCTGTGTAGTGAGTGAAATGATAAAGTGAGCTTACTATATGATCAGACATTAAGGAAACATGCTATGTTGAAGTGCTGGCTTCTCTGACAACAATGCAGCAGCCAGTATGTCCTCCTTCTAACTTTAGATTCTGGTCCTGAATGCTCTGGATTTGTTTGGACCAGAGAAGGTAGGCGGTTTTAAGGCACCCCCACGCGGCCGTTTTGGACGCCCCTCGGTTTGCCAGATATGAGAGCAGTTATCAGGTCAAACCAACAGGTGTTGCAGTGATGGAAGCGGGCAAGAGAACTGGTTCAGATAGAAGTGATTGTACCCGACCTAAAAAGCCTCTGCATGTTTCTAATAAGCTCCACGAGCAGAAACGTGCTCAAACTAGGATCAATATTGGAGATGCTTTTGAAAAATGGAGAGAGGTTAGAACACAGAAAGGTTTACAGACCGATGCAGAGCTGGCTAAACACTGAAGCTTCAGTGTCCACCACATGGCAACCAGCATAAGCATCGACTCTGGAGAGGAGGGGGCGGGGGGAGACAACTCTCTATAATGTTTAGAATTTAGACGCAGTACCAATTTTAAACACTTGGGGTCAGAGTTACATATTGCTCCTTTAAAGTGTGAAGACACTGTCATTAATTTTATGACAACGCATGTCACACACAGTAATCACAAAGTGAAATTAAAGACACAGGAATTAGTAGAATAACAGAAAGAGTTGGCGCAGCAGCAGCGACAACATTTAGGGCCAGTCCCAATATTCCTCTTGCCCCTTCCACTTAGCTCTACCCCTACAGTTTGCAGGTTTAACTCTGTTCTGAGGGGAAAAGGGGCACTCGAAGACGAGGAAACGAGGGGAAGGGCGTAAAGGTTAGAAATTACTAACTAAGCCTTAGCCACCGAAAAAGTAACACCAGCTCAGGGTCGCCCTGTTTGCTCTGATTTTAAATGACGTCTGTTTTTTAACCATTAAAATACGCCTCTGTATTTCAGCGTTTCTATGAAATGGATCAGAGTCTGTTCAAAGAGTCTGTCTAATTTGATAATCAAGTTGTTGCTGAAGCTTTCTTACCTTCCAGCCTTTCACTCTCTGTGCACCTTGGTGGTGAAGATGTGCCCACTCTGCTTCTTCAAGACTCCCAATTTATCTTAATATCTCTGTCTTCCTGCGGTTGTCAGGTGATGGAAACATGTCAAGTTTTGCAGAGATGGTAGATTAACGAGCTCGTGCTCCAATGGTGCTCCGCTACATTCCTAAACTCTCTATGCCCTCCATGAGCCCGAGCTGTGAACACACTCTGAATATCTGTGGTCAATTGATTTACATTTTTTTTAAATTCAGTATTCAAGATGTAAAGAAGCAAGAGATATTGCTGAAATGATTGCATGACCACGCTTTGGTTATTGTGGCTGTTTCATACAGTGGAAAAAGTTTGACGATTATTTTATTTAAATGATTCCCAAAACAATCAATGCAAAGGTGAAGCTGTTATTTAGATTTACTTAAAAAAAGTTTATTTATTGGAACAGCATCCATGTGCCTAGTAGAGGAAGAAAAAAAAATGATTTATGTAAAAATCGAGTTTCCTTGTCTTCTGAGATTTTAAGTAGATTTTAAAATCTTTTTTTTTTTTTTGGCTAATCAGTCACTCGCTGCTAAGTGCTAATTGTAGTTCTTTAATTTAGTAGAGTGTCAAATGGAGCAGCAAGAAAGTTAACCAGCCTCACAGATCACTGGAGTAGATCCTGATATATATGTGGATTAAAAAATAGACTTTGAAGTCATGGGTCCAGAATCGTTTTGAATCGAAAAATAGATTCTGAATCGAATCGGGACCCCGAGAATCGAATCACATCACATCATGAGTTACCCAAAGATTCTCAGCCCTAGTGGATAGTAGTCCAAACCTGCAGTTAAAGATTGAATCGCTGCAGCTCAGACAGTAGAGCGTGATGCCCACTACATGCAGTAATGTGCCTGAATAGATCCTCTTCCTGTCTGCGTGTTTAAACCACCATAAAGGAGACACAACGCCCACATTTCAGCATTTAGCACAGTAGTTCTCTGAGGGTGCGGTCACACTGGCCATCCGTACCGTGCCCAAGCACGCTTCAACCCTGAAGTCCAGTTCGTTTGACCAGTGTGACCGCTCCGTATCGTGCTCAGACACGGTACACAGAGGTGTGCCAAAGCCGGTACACTTCATGCACGAGCACAAGCATGCGGGTAAACAACGCTGACAGCCTTCATTATGGAGAAATCCAGAGTTTCATGGCTGTATCTGACTAAAATGACCCAATATAATGAACACAAAGTAGCTGTCATGCTCTGTGTTTTTCTCCGATGTGCGTCTCTCTCTCTCTCTCTCTCTCTCTCTCTCTCTCTCTCTCTCGTCCTCCTAAACTTTTGTAAACTGAGCACGCTTCATAATAACATAAAGCATCAGTCTAGCCAGCTGTTAGTGTCTGAGGACTCCTGCTCGGGACTTTCTTTTCTGTACTTTGACATTTTTTAGTTGGTTGGATTTGAGAAACATCTATGGTGGACAATCAGCTGCACATGCATGAAGACACCTGCAGTTTAAAGACGTGATTTAAAGAGGACATATTATCCCCCTTCTCCACCTTTTCAAACATTCCCCTGTGGTCTAAATTAAACATCTGTGCTGTGCTTTGATCAAAATGTAACATGAATCAAGCACCAGAGGAGGTTTGTGACCCTGTATAAACCAGCTCTCTCAGAATGCTCTGTTTTGGTGTGTGTGTGTCTCTTTAAATGCAATGACCCCCCCCTCTGAGTTTTCCCCGTAGACATCACTCCTTCGCTAGCACGAATAAAATTGCCGACCTGCTCAAAAGTTTTGTTCTAGGCTGGGGGTGGAGTCCATGGGTGGAGATACCAGGGGAGGGGAGGAGATTTGTTTAACCAGAATCCCACTGTGACATCACAAGGAGAGCAGATTTGCATAAATGCTCTGTGTTGTAAGACCTATGCAGACCACAAACAACACTTTTGCTCCTCAAAGCCCGCTGAGATGCAAAAAGTAATATGACTCTGATACAAACAACAACCAGAACACTTCTGATACCAAAATCCTATAGCACCTACAAGTTTGTATTTTCAGCTTTTATTCTTCTATAATCATCATTTTGGTGCTGAAGTGTTGCCAACGTTTTTGTGCACTCTGTCACATTGAAACCACGCTCTCTGTCTTTCACGCTCCGCAGCTTGACTGAAGGTTTGAATTTTTTTTCTTTTTTTTTAAGTCTAATACGTAGAGATTTTAATTCAAATATCTAAATTAATTAAAACTTGACTAAACAAATGTTATATCAATATTTGTTGCTGAGTGCTTACATTACCTCAAATATTTCCAACATTTTTAATTCACATAGATATTATAGTAATCATTTCTAAACAGTCTGGGAATTTCTTTTGCCACTTTCATTGTTCTGAATGAGAGCTCCTGTTTGGATTTTGAGGAAACGGTTTCTCATCCATTCAGAAAAAAGCTGCCAAAAAAAGTATGGAAGACTTTGACCACCTTAGTGTTTGTGCTGAATCTGTAGAGTCTGTTATCTGTGTGCGTTAGAGATGTGTGTCTCTGTGTTCCCGTCACTTGTTTAAGGACTTTTATCTTTGCTAGTCGTCCAGATTGGATGCCTGAATGCAGCAGCAGCAGGGCAGAGGGGTTAACAACTTTGTTTCAGCAGTTGTATGTTTCCAGATCAGATAGAAGAACTGACCTCAGTGTTTTGTGCAGGTTTTGGCCAACTGGGCCTCGGCTGAGCTACTGAAGCCGGACATTTCTGTAACAATCCCCGAGTGGAACAAGAGAAAGGTCCTGTGTGCAGAATGCAGAAGCACCTTTGCATTCAGAGGGAGCACAGCGAGAACGAGCTGGCTGCTCCGCGCTCTGCAGCCGCACAACCAAACAACAACACTCTGTTTCTGCTCTCCTGCGTGTCACTTTCAGGGAGATGCAGAAGGTGAGTCGGTCACTTCCCACCTCTGCAGTCGGAGTGGATAATTTATGTCGGCTTATGTAATGGCTGTCTGTGCCACTTGGCTGCCTTCTGCTGTGCTACTGACAGCGCTGTAGTGTGAATGTGTGCGACCTGCTGGTACTCTACACTGCATACTGAGGCTGTGGGCTGGAGTGCCTGTCCCGGCCTGACTGATGGTCTTTACCTCCTTCTCTAACTCACTCGGTTATAGAGCTCTTTGTCTTTTTATGCCCTCTGTGTAAACTCACAGAGGGGGAAGGTATGGAGGTTTAAGTATCTCACACACAGCTCCTGCTGGTTTTGAGCTGCAGAAGGAGAAATTAATTTTAAACTGGGATATGATGTGAGTAAAATCAAACAATGTCAATAACAAGATTGGGTGGTTTGGTGGTCATTTCTTGTTTTTTAATTACTTTAAGTTGCAGTCAATCTCCTGCACACGGTCTAAACATCAGTTTGGTACCGAAATGTTGCCAATGTTTTTGTGTAATAAAGACAGCATGCAGGAGATTTAATGCTATTTTTTTATGTTTTCATTCGTCTCCTACTCACCTGTCTTATCAACTTAAACTTCAACTTAATTATCCCAGAGGTGACTTTTTTTTTTTTTGCAGCCAGGTGAAAAGGAGTAGAAGATATACTTTTTTGATCCCGTGAGGGGAAATTCAGTTTTCTGTTATTGAGACATACTACACACACAGACTGAAACACACACACACATGCACAAACAGGATCCTAACGACATGCACTGATAGGGAGGTGGGGCTGCACACAGCGAGCGCTCCTTAGCTGGTTGGGTTGGCGTCTTGCTCAATGGGAATCTCGGCAGTGCTCAGAAAGGGAACTGGCCGAGACTTGGGCTGAGTCGGGACTTGAACCGGCGACCCTCTGGTTCCCAACCCAAGTCCCTGCAGACTCAAGAAGCTTATAGAAACACAGGTACATAGAAACAACAAACACCATGAACAACATGAATACTGGAGTTCATCAGATAACAACAGGAAACTAAGAATGTATTAAAACGTCCACAAAAACCATCATTTAACATAACAAATAAAAATCATCAGTCCTCATGGTCTTCATTGGAGTTCAGTCGTTTGATGTCTTGAGGTTTAAAATAATTGTTCAACCTGTTGGTCTTGCCTGAGGGCAGAAGCTCAAACTCTCCAAACAGAGGATGTGGAGGACTCTGTAGGTCTCAAGTGTTAGCTGCAGCTCTCTGACTGAAGGTGAGAAACAGATCGACCCCCATTGATCCTACTGGTAACTTTAAGGATGTGTTGAAACCTATTTTTACCTTTTGAGAGATTACAAACAAATGTAGTTTAAAACTCAGGAAGTCCCGGCTAACACGGGGCGGTTCGCAACCTTACACTGGTCCTATGACTCACATCCCACATGGGACCTGAATAACACCCGTTGGATTGTTGCCAATGTGAAATACTGTCGGAGGATAATTGGGAGAAACGACCGATTGTTAGTACAGCGAGAAAAAGGGTTAAAAATAGGGAGACTATGCTATGCTGGTGGGGCAGTGGTTTGTGAGCGCGCCCCATGTATGGAGGCTAGTCCTCTAGGCTGTAGGCCCTCCTTTCCTGCATGTCATTCCCTTCTCACTCTCTCCCTGATTTCCAACTCCATCCACTGTCCTATCTCTCAATTAAAGGCACGAAAAGCCCAAAAATAAAAATCTGTAAAAAATAAATAAAAACCTGCCTCTCGACCAATGACAGCTGGGATCGGCTCTGATCCCCCCGCGCCCCCTAACGTGACATTAAGCGGTTTAAATATTGGATGGATGAATCGGCAGCTACGGGCCTATCACAGATGCTGTTTTCAGAACATGTTATGCAAAAGAACAACGCTCAGAGTGATGTAGAAATGGATTCATCTTGTAGTTTGTCCAGCAGAGGGCACTCAGACTGCTTTGTTTACAATTCTCTCCGCACTCTCTGCAGCACACAGCGGCCCACACTACAGTTAGATGATAATGCAAAATGATGTAACACATCTTTTCATTAAATTATTTGTTGAAGAAATCTGCTTTGTGAGAACCTTCAAACTGATAGAAAGTACAAATTTTCTCCGCTGATGGTCTCAAAAATCCCTTTTCGGTCAGTCTCTATTTATCTGTCAGCATCTGAAAATCGTCCTCCTCCTCCTCAGGGAACATCATCGGCTCAGGGATCTTCATCTCTCCGAAGGGCGTCCTGGAGCACTCGGGCTCGGTGGGTTTGGCGTTGGTGGTTTGGGTCCTGGGAGGTTGCATCGCCGCGTTGGGCTCCCTCTGTTATGCTGAGCTGGGCGTCACCATCCCCAAATCTGGAGGAGATTACTCGTACGTCACGGAGATATTTGGAGGTCTGATGGGGTAAGTCGATAAACAAACTCCTTTAAAACTTCTTCTGCTGTCTGTCAAAAAGACAAACTGCAATGCTTTGATTCTGGGATTGCATTACGTCAGTTGCATGAAACCCTGTTTGTGTTCACAAAACTGTCTCATGTCATCAAACGTCTTTGTCTTCTTCAGGTTCCTCTTGTTGTGGAGCGCCGTCCTCATCATGTACCCGACAACGCTGGCAGTCATTGCCCTCACCTTCTCCAGCTACGTCCTGCAGCCCGTCTTCCCAGACTGTGTCCCTCCTTACATGGCCACACGGATGCTGTCCGCCACCTGTCTCTGTGAGTCGCTTCAACATCTTCAGCGTTTGGTGGAAACAGGACGGTTAAAGGAGCGATATGTAACTCTGACACCTAGTGTTTAAAATGGGTACTGCAGTCCAAATTCTAAACATTATAGAGAGCTGTCTCCCCCCGCCCCCTCTCTCTCGATGCTCACACAGGTTGCCATGTGCTTGAAGCTTCAGTGTTTAGCCAGTTCTGCATCGGTCTGTAAACCTTTCTGTGTTCTAACCTCTCTCCATTTTTCAAAAGCATCTCCAATATTGATCCTAGTTTGAGCACGTTTCTGCTCGTGGAGCTTATTAGAAACATGCAGAGGCTTTTTAGGTCGGGTACAATCACTTCTATCTGAACCAGTTCTCTTGCCCGCTTCCATCTCTGCAACACTTGTTGGCTTGACCTGATAACTGCTCTCATATCTGGCAAACCGGGGGCGTCCTAAACGGCTGTGTGGGGTTGCCTTAAAACCGCCTACCTTCTCTGGTCCAACAAATCCAGAGCATTCAGGACCAGAATCTAAAGTTAGAAGGAGGACATACTGGCTGCTGCATTGTTGTCAGAGAAGCCAGCACTTCAACATAGCATGTTTCCTTAATGTCTGATCATATAGTAAGCTCACTTTATCATTTCACTCACTACACATCTTACTGATTGGACCTTTTAATTGAGTTCAGTTGTGATGATGTGCAGTATTCTTTATCTTACACAGTTTGCATATTTCATGATGAATGTTTGTTTTTCTTGTGTTTTTTCTTTCTGTTTTTCCTCCATGTTTCTTTATTTCCTGAACTGATGAATTTATCTCCTAATGAGATAAGAATGAGAATGATTAAAATCCGGCTCATCAATAAACTACAGGTCCATTCCTCTGGCACGAGCACTGCAGGGAAAGTGGTCACGTGTGAAGCGTCTCTTATGTAACTTCAGGCTGAAGGCTTTTAAAAAGCTCTTTTATGGCCGTAGTAAATAATGCACGGCATCCCTTTAGGAGGGAGGAGAGCACAAGAAGAAGACGGGACGAGGTTTGATGTCTGTAGAGAAGAATATGAAAGCTGATGATGAAAACTTTACAAAAATACACACATTATAATCACCCTAAAATAAAATATTCTCCTCATATGAGATTTTTATAAAACTTTAAAAACTACTTATTCAGGGCGCCGGTGGCCGAGGGAATAGTTTGCACGCCTCATGTACAGAGACTGTGGTCCTTGAAATGGGTGGCCCAGGTTCAAATCCAACATATGTCTCCTAACCCGCATTTCATTCATTGGCCAAAATGTGTTTTAAATGTGGTATCTTAAGGAGCGTCTGATAATCGAGTGGTTGTGTTGCGTGCACCATATACCACTCTCTCTCCTCCACACATATCCTGTCTCTCTTCAGCTGTCCTGTCCAATAAAGGAAAAAAAATACAAACGTCAGCGTCCAAGAGAAATCACACCTGACCGACCCAAATGCGATCATTTGAACCGGGACAAAACCTGAAGGTATCTGAAGAAACCCCAAAGCATCGTGTTAGGGTACTGTTGTAGTACTCAATCTCAAGAACACTTTTTGAAGGTCAATCAAAAGCATTTTTACTTGGTCTTGTATCGGTCTCAGACTGGGTGGACTCCGGATTTAAATCAAGCTGGTCTAGACCACCACTGATTGGCCATTTGTCCACGTCATTACTGTGATTAGAAGGAAAACTTTTCTTTCTAAAAGAACAAATAACTTCTTATTTTTTTTCCCCGGTTACGACCGCAACCTTCCCGGTGTTACGGTCTCGTCCTGCCTTGGTCTTGGTCTTGTCTCGGTCTCGTCCTGCCTTGGTCTTGGTCTAGTCTCGGTCTCGCCCTGCCTTGGTCTTGGTCTAGTCTCTGTCTTGGAGCACTCTGGTCTCGGGTATATCCTGGTCTCTTTGGTTATTGTGGTCTTGACGACACTATGTTGGGGTTCTTGGGAAGCAGCAGAGAGCTCCGGCTGCACTCCTCCAAAATTTAAACGTCTCCATCAAATATTGATTGTATGAAAATAGAAAAGCTTCAAGAGGAGTAGTTACCGTGTCACAGGACGGGCCCAGCAGACGTCAGTGTCTCACAGAGCCGTGCTGACGTTACAGTCGTTAGTGGGGAGCTGTCACGCTGCCTAACTGCTGGGAGTTTTGCCTGAAGTACCTGCACTGCTGTCCGTTAATCCAGCCGGCCTCTTTGTCTCATCAATAACGTCTGGCCTGAATCTCCGTCTGCAAGGTGAAACAACGTGTGATTCCTGCGCCTCTGACGCCATCGTTCACTTGTTGGAGGAGGATTGATGCTGAAACCTGAGCTCAGCCGGGCCTCCTCGGGGATGCTTGTGTGTGTGTGTGTGTGTGTGCGTGTGTTTGTGTGTGCGTGTGTGTGTCTCGAGGGGAGGGTCCTCGCCACGTTTTCTTTGCAGCGGAAGTGGTTTGTTTTGTGGCGCTGACAGCTCGTCTTTGTGCCGGAGAGTGAGGCCACCATGAGAGAGAGCCGTGACAGTGATGGACGAGGTGAAACAATCACGCCCCTCCCTCACTCGCCTCTTTCCCACATTCCTGCCTCCTGGGGCAACTCGCTGCTGCCGCCCACCACCAACAAGAACACCAGCACCGGTTCCCCGAATCAGGAACTTTATATTGATACTGACACTATTAAAGGAGCAGTCCGTGAGGTTGTTCAATTCACAGTCAGAGCACTTCAACACTTGTACAGCTGCATTAAGTCGTCTAATGCTTTGCAAGATGACTTTGTTGATGTCGTACGAGGGATGTAATCAAGGTTTTGGAAACTACACATTTTAAAACAGAACGCTTCCTATATATATTCTTATAGAGCTTGGAGTGGCGATCTAACAGCCAAAAAGGCCACTGAAAGGAAAGTCATTTCCAACTTACAGGTAAAGAAGAACGTCCATCATGGAATATGTTTCAACTCATCTTAAAAAACACAGAAAAAACACATTTAAGGTCCAATCAGTAAGATGTGTAGTGAATGAAGTGATAAAGTGACCTTCCTATATGATCAGACATTAAGGAAACATGCTATGTTGAAGTGCTGGCTTCTCTGACAACAATGCAGCAGCCAGTATGTCCTCCTTCTAACTTTAGATTCTGGTCCTGAATGCTCTGGATTTGTTTGGACCAGAGAAGGTAGACGGTTTTAAGACGTTTTGGACGCCCCTCGGTTTGCCAGATATGAGAGCAGTTATCAGGTCAAACCAACAGGTGTTGCAGCGATGGAAGCGGGCAAGAGAACTGGTTCAGATAGAAGTGATTGTACTCGACCTAAAAAGCCTCTGCATGTTTCTAATAAGCTCCACGAGCAGAAACGTGCTCAAACTAGGATCAATATTGGAGATGCTTTTGAAAAATGGAGAGAGGTTAGAACGGGAAGGTTTACAGACCGATGCAGAGCTGGCTAAACACTGAAGCTTCAGTGTCCACCACATGGCAACCTGCATGGGCATCGACTGTAGAGAGGAGGGGGCGGGGGGGAGACAGCTCTCTATAATGTTTAGAATTTGGACTGCAGTACCCATTTTAAACAATAGGTGTCAGAGTTACATATTGCTCTTTTACTCTTTGAAACGTACCTGCCCCCCCGTGTAGGTTTCTCCGGTTTGTTTTTATCCCTGACGGAGTGTGTTTTTCTCCTCAGTGCTGCTGACCTGGGTGAACTGCTCCAGCGTTCGTATGGCGACCAGGATCCAGGATGTCTTCACAGTGGGGAAGCTGATGGCTCTGGGACTCATCATCGTGGTCGGCCTGGTCCAGATCTGCAATGGTAACCTCCTCGGTCTTCGGCCTAAAGCTTCACAGCTCCCTGAAGTGAAAACAAACTGAAATGTCCTCTTTACCTCGCAGGGAACTACGAGGCTCTGACCCCTCAAGTGGCCTTTTCCCTGGACAGGACGCCGTCGGTCGGGCAGATCGCTCTGGCCTTCCTGCAGGCCTCGTTCGCCTTCAGCGGCTGGAACTTTCTTAACTACGTCACAGAGGAGGTGGTTGAACCCAGACGGTAAATATTTACAGCCTGTCGACATCTTTCAGAGCCGTTCTCAACAGTGCAATCTGACCTATGACCATCCAACCTGAGATATCATACATGGTCTCACATTCTAAAAGCTCATACTGAAGCACTCTTTTGGTCACCTGTCAATCCTAATGTTGAATATGGAGCTGAATCCCAGATTAAAGCACAAGCAAGTTCACTCAATCAATATTAGATAGCACCATGTTGGTTTTAATTTCACCCGCACTGATTGTGTCGCCAACAGCGTCAGATTGTTGGCTTTGCTCAGAAGCAGCTCAACATCCTCATGCATATTCGATTTATAAGCTTCTTTTATTTCCAGTGTTTTTCAACTTCCATGCATGTTAACAGATTTTTGGTTTCGACTGTATCACCTGTGCATGTGTGTGTGTGTGTGTGGCCTGGGTCAGGAATCTACCTCGTGCCATCTACATCTCCATACCATTGGTGACCTTTGTGTACACGCTCACCAACATCGCCTACTTCTCCTCCATGTCACCCGAGGAGCTGCTGTCATCCAATGCCGTCGCTGTCGTGAGTAAAGCGGCTCCATCATGATTGGCAACAAAGATAAAATGTCATTTTTACATTTCATTTTTCAGACATGAGTCAGTGTTGGATAAGGATTGCTAGTCTAAAACTAAAAAACAGCATGTGAGGCCTATGTAGCGTTTAACATGCAAGCCCTCTCATGGCCAGTAGGGGGCAAGTCAGCATCCAGTTTTGCATCTTGGCTTCTGACTACTGTTTCCAAGACTCAAATCATGCCACCAACTGAAGATAGACTGATGAAGAGTAGAGAATTAAAACATTGTTTTGTTGCATTAATCAGTCTGTACGCATGAGTGAGTGTGTGTGTGTGTTTCTGCTGTTCAGACGTTTGGAGAGAAGCTGCTCGGGATGTTCTCCGTCATCATGCCGATCTCCGTGGCTCTGTCCACCTTTGGAGGGATCAACGGCTACCTGTTCACCTCCTCCAGGTGAGACCTGCTGCTCTGCCTGCTCCGTCATGCTCACACTGTGCTGTAGTATGAGTGCTGACCGGCTGTGTGATGTGTCTGTCTGCAGGTTGTGTTTCTCTGGAGCCAGAGAGGGTCACCTGCCCAGCCTGCTGGCCATGATCCATTTTAAGAACTGCACACCTATCCCTGCCCTGCTGGTCTGCGTATGTACTACTTAACTTTCATGTCCCTTTATGTAATGAATGAATGAAACCTTTATTACCCCTAGGGGAATTTGCCTTGCACAGAGAGCATAAAAAATCTTTGTTTAAAGGGGACATATTCTGAAAAATCCACTTCTTCAGTGTTTTTGAACATATATTTGGGTAACCTGAGTGTCTACTGACCCACAAAATGTGAAATAAACCCATCCAGTCCTTCGTTTGTGGTCTGCATAAGTCTTGCAACACAGAGGAAAATGCTCTGTTTCAAATTTGCTCTCCTTGTGATGTCAGGTCAGCAATTTTATTCTTGCTAGTGAAGGAGTGATGTCTATCAAGAAAACCAGAGGGGGGGGGGGGGGGGCTCATTGCATTTAAAGAGACACACACACCAAAACGGAGCGTTCTGAGAGAGCTGGTTTTATAAAGGCTCACAAACCTCCTCTGGTGCTTGATTTATGTTATATTTTGACCACAGCACAGATGTTTCATTTAGACCACGGGGGCTGTTTGAAAAGGGGGGATCATATGTCCTCTTTAATTATGCATCCATATACTGCAATATTGGAGATGCTTTTGAGAAATGGAGAGGTTAAAACTCAAAGGTTTACAGACCGATGCAGGGCTGGCTAAACACTGAAGCTTCCTGTGAAGGAGTCCCTGAATGTTCTTCCTCATAAGCTTTAGACTTTTGTGGTTGCAACCAGCGTGCATGCAATCTTAGATTTCAAAGCTAGGCACTGATAATAATGAACAGGCAGGATGTTTAGTGTAATGAAAGTGGAAGTCAGATGAACACTTAAGAGGTTAACCTGAGGGTCCTGCAGGAGTCGTTTAAATAAATTCACCACATATTCCTCACCTTGCTGTGTATTTCAGTGCGCTGCCACCATTGTTATTCTCTGCATCGGAGAGACACACAACCTGATCAACTACGTCTCCTTCATCAACTACCTGTCGTACGGCGTCACCATCGCCGGCCTGCTCTACTACCGCTGGAAGAAACCCAACCTGTACAGACCCATTAAGGTACTGACATTTCTCTGAGTAGTCACAAGATAAAACCAAGTAATTTTAACCGACGTCATTTATTTGCATGCACCTTTCTATTTCTACACATTTAAATATTTCAGCTTCAGTCGTGAAGCCGGCTGTGATGGCGTTGTTAATGAGTCCAATTAAAAGTTGTTTGTGTCGCTGACAGGGTCAGATAGTTTTGTAAAGAGTCTGACAGCGTTACAGAAAGGATCCCTACAGAGTCAGACCTTTTTGTTTCAGAGGAAGATGATTATTCAAGCAGAAACAGCTGTTACAACGAGCCTTCGAGCAGATCGAAACCCACCGATAAAAACATTAATGTCACCTCACATGAAGTGGGTTTTCTTCCTCTGATGTTCTCACCTCGTCCCCGTGTCTTCCTCAGGTGAACCTCTTGGTTCCTGTTTGTTACCTGATGTTCTGGGCGCTGCTGCTGGGTTTCAGTCTTTACTCCGAGCCCGTGGTCTGTGGCGTTGGTTTAGTCATCATGCTCACCGGTGTACCCGTCTACTTCCTGGGCGTCCATTGGAAAGAGAAACCAAAGTGCATCTACAACTTCATCGGTGAGTTTCTGTTGTGATAAAATAGTCAGACTCTTTGTGAACCTTCACTCATATTAAACATCTGTCTTGTTTTTTTTTTTTTGTTCCTGCAGAGAGGGCGACATACGTGGGCCAGAGGTTGTGTTTTGTGGTCTTTCCTCAATTTGACCCCATCGAGATCGACAGTCCGTCAGAGAAGACTGACCGCTCATCAGGCAGGGGCAGTTTGTCTGCCAATTCTTAAAACTTTGTTTTGAAGTAGATCTTTGCTGTTTTTGCTTTTTACTCTGTCACTGTAAGTCCAGACACTCCGTCCTGCTGCAGGAGCTTCATGTCTGATGTCCGACCCTCTGAGACTCTGGTTTCCCTTCAGCTGAGTGGAAACAACCTTTTTTCTTTTCTACTAAGTCGTCAACAAGCTAATGCCGACAGTGTCGCACTGTGAAAGAGACTTTGAGTCCCGTTTTGGACACTTTTTCTGTCACATGTCAGAACGCCGACCATGACAGTGTTTCTTCAGAATGTTGTTGGTCCAGTGTCTCCCACACAGACGATCCCTGGGCGGGCAGCCGAGCTCCCAGATACTGTCCTTGTTTTGACCAGCGAAAATGCTCAAACTGACTCCTGCTCAACCGAAAGTCGGACTGAAGGCCTTCATCATCCAGACACCATATTGTTCCCTTTATTTCAGTATATCATGAACCCACCTCCACTTTTTAAGTCCCCCCCCCCCCGCCCTCATCCCATAGGACAGCAACAGGAAGAGCTCGACATCTGCTTGAGTCTGTTTTCCATTAGAGTTACCGTTATCACATTTAATCGGCCCGTTGTGCACGCTGCCCGGCTCCTCAGGCGCACACGCCGTTTTACCCGACGCACTTTTGAGTCATTTCTGAGCAACCGAGCGTCTCAGTGTGATCCCAACTTAAGGCCTTTTGAACCCCCCCCCCATACCGCCCAGGTACAGCGTCATTCTGTGGGAAACACTGCTGCCTTTTATCGTGCCTTAAGGCTTTTTCACACTGAGTTTTAAACAAATTAACTTCAGATTTCTTCTTTTCTTCTTCACGCAAAAACAGACTGGAGAACTTCTTCGGGTTAAATGAGTCTGACTTTATAAAAAAAACAGATATTTATGTGTTTATTTCAAACTTCAAACGGGGAAAATGTACATTCAAATGTTTATTAATATCAACTGATCCACTTTATTAGATCTTAATATATGTTTTTGTTCGAGTGCCTTTGCTTTGTGTATCTCATTTGATTATTTGAGAAGCTCTTTGGTCTTCCATGCATCATCTGTTTTCTTGTTTGAAAACAGTTTCTTAATCTGCTCTCACATCGGTCCACATCACTACAGTAATGAAAAAGTAAGGCTGTCAGTATTAACGAGTTAATCAGGATTAATCTCATGCTATTTTGTCCCTTTAGGCTCACCGTAGATCGTTGTCCTCAGTGTCTCTCTGTGTGGAGTCTGCATGTTCTTAGAATGGGTGTGTATGTGACTTCCTGTGCTTCTGCTGCCAGCCTCTAGTGGACACTCCAGGAACTGCAGGATTTTAAACTTCAGCATCGGCTTCATTTTTCAACACCTGAAGTTGCCGCTTGGTTTTAAAACCAAACAATCCGCATGTGTCGGAGGAAAATGCCCGCTGTGTGAATATGACTAAATGGGACACAGCTTCATTTATTTTTGAGTCTTTATGTTTGACATTCTTCTAACATGTATTTTTCTATGGAAGCCCAGAGACACCATGCAACCAATCTTTTTATTTTATTCCGTTTGCCGTTATCTCAGGATAACACTGCTCGTGTTCCTCTGGGAAGAAGTTAATTTCTTACAATCTAAAGAAAACTAGGGCTGTCTGCATTAATGAGTTAGTCACAATAAATGAGGTCTGAACTGAATGCATTCATTTTTTTAACCTTGATTAATCTCATCTGATTTTGTCCCTTCAGGCTCTCGTAGATAGTCGTCCTCAGTGTCTCCCTGTAGTCTCAGTGATGTAAAAGAAGGACACTGCTGCATCTTTGAATGTCTCATTTTACTTTAACAAACTCTCAGACAGCTCAGCTGATGAGTGCAAAGTAATATCCACCTTATGACATCACACATTGACCTTATGACATCACACATTGACCTTTGTTACCGTTCCTTTGAGCTGTTTGAGGTCAGTTTGGGATCTCTAACCACTTCCTGTTTCTGTGCTTCACTTCATGTCCTAACCTTCCATCTACCAGAAGCTCCTTACTGTATTTCAAAATAAAAGCACACAGCAAGTGAAGTACTCTCAGTTTAAGACAGAACTCAAAATAAAATAATTTTTATTTGAAAATGCGAAATAATGGAATTTCCAACATGTGATTAATTGTGATTAACTATTTAATTTGGTTTAAAGTTATCCTGATTAGAATTTCTTTTTTTTGACTGCCCTAAAATTAACTCGTAATCTCGGGAACACCAGCGTTGTTATCCCGAGAAAACGAAGCATAAGGTCATCTTGAAAATGAAGTAAAGTCAAATGTATGGCTGTGTATCTGCTTTGGGCTTTACGTGCCATGTTAACTAATCACCTGTATGCATGTTGTCTGAAAGGCCCTGTGTTCTAATGAAGCCTCTATTGATTGTTGTTCATTTACAGTCACATGGGTTTAATCATAAACTTTACACTCATACATGCAACTGTATTTTGTCTCCAAATGTTCAGCTGCACAGCCCTTCACATGGTTTATCATTCATGAAGCTAAATATATTTAAAGCTCACAGACTCTAAACATGTTGTATGCATTCTTGATTTTGTTTTCTGGCGTCCTCTCACAGTGGATACGTCTTTGTTTTAATATAAATTAATCTTTAAAGGCCTTACTCATCAGTTCATAAATAAGATTGTAAAAACACACAGCACAGCATCTGCAGCAGCTGGTCTCCAGTTCTCGTCCCGTGCAGACACGTTCACACTGTAAATTATTTGTAAAGCACGCAGCGTTTAAAACATTACATGAGATGTTAACACATTAGAGCACTTTTTGTTTGTTTGTAAAAATTAGTAAATAACTTTATTAGAACAATAAATCCAGAATAAATTGGACCAGGACTCTGTCTTTGTGTGTTTGTTCTGCACACTGCTGGTGAATCTGACTAAATCTACCCGTTTGTTGTTCTTTATATCATGTTTCTATGATGATTTGATTTACACTTTTCACAATCTTAATTTTTAAAGGTCACATATTCTCCTCCTCTTCAGTGTAAATAAGTCTCAGAGTTCCTAAAACATGTCTGTGAAGTGTCTTGTTCTAAATCCTCGCTGATCCTGTATTTGATCACGCCTATAAACCCCTCTATTTCAGCCCTGCTCAGAACAGGCTGTTTTTGTCTGTACCTTTAAATGTAAATGAACTGTGTCTGACCACGCCCCCTCTCTGGAAGGGGTGTCTCTGGCTTTCTCGCTCCATGTCCTATTGTTTACGGTGAGAAGGCAGACTCAGAGGGCAAAACAAACACCTAGCTATGGGAGTGTCATCCACCTGGGGGAGGGGTTACTGCTCTGTGTGATGTCATGAAGGGAAAATCTCCAAACGGCCTGTTTGAGCACACAAAAGACAGAGTCCAGATGGACTTTTCTCATCATTGGGGGGTTTGTAGACAGACTAGAGACACATATTAGAGTTAGAGGAACATGGTGAAGTGGATTTTATATATATGTGACCTTTAAAGTAAAATATTTTTTTGGAAGAATTTCCGCTATTATATTTAGCAAACATTTAAAAACTCTCTGGTCTCTGATGGTTTTTGGGAGTGAGTAGAGTGGGAGCAGCAATGGAGAAGGATCTGTCCGCCCAGGAAGGATGGTTGGTTCCTGTAGGAGGGGGGAAAGGAGGTTTGGGTCAGGAGACTTGAGTGGGGGTGGGAGTCTGCCGGTGGAAGAGCTCAGACAGGTATAGTGAGAGTCTGGTTAAGGAGTTTTTTAAAAACATTTTCTGTTCTCTATTGGGGCCAGGGATTCATGAAGTGCGTTAAATCCAACAACAACAAAAAAGAGTAAGGATAGTTTGGAAAACTTTTGTTTGTGACTCAAAAATGTCCCCAATTAAATAAAAAATTACCTTAATATCATTACCTGATCTACATTATAACGATAGGCTGTCACTCTATGATGCGATGATGACGTAGTCGTCTAAACAGGAAGTTTAAACAGGACGCTTCTTTTTCTCTCCACCACGTGACCCGCACGTTACCGCTGCTATCGTCATCATTAGACAACCTAAATGCCGGTGAGTTTCTTAAAAATCATCAACATTTCACAAATGAGTGTATTAATGTCACTGTCGCTTACATACTGATAAGTTATTAAGCTGACGTCATCTTAAAACATAGCGTATTCACGCGCACAGGTAAAATATTAGCATAGCATAGCTCCTGGTCGGGCTCTACCGCAGAACCTCATTCAGATAATTGCGGTTTGTCGTTTTTTGGCTTTTCGGTCAGTGGAAAAACCTAATAGATTATAAATCAGCCATTTAAATAAATATTTATAGCACTGTTGAAATTTTGGCGTACTTTAAATTCTCCAAATGCGATTTAGTTGTTTTAAAATCCATTTAATTTGAGCTCCTGTCCCCTGAGTTATACCTGACGACCTGTAGGAGTATTTAGACATGAATACAGCGAGTAATGCTAATAACATTAGTTTAAAGTGTGGGATAATGCGCGGACTGTTCACTCGGCAGTGGAATAAACTTTACAAATTGAGGTTTTGTTTTTCATTCTTCGGTTTTGATCTGTGAAGTGTGCACTTTGGCTTGATCTTAAACCGCGTCAAATCACCTGATTTCTGACAGGAGTTTGGCGTGACGTTCTCGTGATTGAAAACATGGCAAAACTAAGCTACAACATGTATGTATAAATGTATGTATGTATGAATAAATGCTTACAGAAGTACATGCATGACTATCTTCTCCTCTGTGATGTTATCAGGAGGTCTGAGCCGCCATGATGACAGCTGGCAGGCTGAACTTCTGCAACATCACCGCCCTGGCTCCGATGGTCCGGGTGGGGACTCTGCCCATGAGGCTGCTGGCTCTGGACTACGGAGCTGACGTGGTTTACTGCGAGGTGAGGGTGGAGGCTTTGGCAGAGAAATTAATCTTTTAGTGTGTATAAAAGTTGTTTAATGACTCTTTTTCTGTCTCTTTCAGGAGTTGATTGACATAAAAATGGCTCAGTGTCACAGGGTGGAGAACCGTAAGAATCTCTCACTTTATCTTCTCCTTCATGCCACAGCTTGTGAGAGGATCGCCCTCACACTTTGATGTTCTGTGTATTTGTCAGAGGTGCTGCAGACGGTGGATTTCGTCGCCCCTGATGATCGAGTGATGTTCAGGACCTGTGAGAGGGAGAAGGACAGAGTCGTCTTCCAGATGGTGAGACAGGAAACATCCGGAACGTATTTATTTTCCTCGTATGTTTTCTCTTGAGGGGTCACTTTTTCTCTTTGTACTTTTAGGGGACTGCTGACCCAGACCGAGCGCTGACCGTCGCCCAGCTTGTGTGAGTTTAGAGCACGACACAGAGTCCGACTAAAAGTGAAGTTTTCTTCAGTGAAACCTGTTCGTGACTTGCACTGCATTCAGGTGCTCCTCGGATAGTCCCAGTGTCCAAGTCGCTCTCCCATCTTCAGTTAGTTCACACGCTTTCAATTCAGAATGTCGCAATGTTGTAACAACAAGAAACAACATGGATGCTGCGTTCTGTAGACAATGTGAGGAATCTCAGTGTATCTGTGTGACCTGCTATCCTCATACTCAATATGATCACCCAATAATGATATCATAAACAGACTTAAACATTTAATTCATGGCTCCTGTTCTTGTTCTTCTGTTGTTGATCAGGGAGAAGGATGTGGCCGCCATCGATGTGAACATGGGCTGTCCAAAAGAATACTCCACCAAGGTGAGTCTCCTCTCAGTGACCGACCTGCAGCTGCAACGCCTTCTCTAGTTTTTGATCTCTAGGTGTCCCTAAAAAGTCTTATTTTAACCTGAGAGAGGTCTTAAAGTTAAGATGAGCCTTTGAGACATGTTTGAATACTTTGTCATATTTACTCTGTCTAGTCAGCAGGGGACAAACGATTTGCAGAAAAAGTTTCTAAACGTGGACCAATTGGAATAAAAGCCTTTTGAGTCCCGCATGATATCTGGTATAAAATGGTCCTAATGTTTCTTTGTGTGCGTCAAGTCTTTAAACGTCTTATATTAGACTTTTGAAAAAGTGTGCAGCAACCCTAGGTGACCTTTGACCTCTTGCAGGGCGGGATGGGAGCTGCTCTTCTGTCAGATCCTGATAAAATCGAGGCGGTGAGTATTGGGAAAGCTATTGTGCAAAAATAAAAATAGTTAGGCTTTTATTTTGAAGTTTTGAACTGGTTTTACCTGAGAGTACTTTAGTTGCTTTTATTTTGAAATACAGTAAGGCTCTTCCTGTAAAGTGAAGATTAGGACATGAAGTTAAGCACAGGAACAGGAAGCGGTTAGGGATCCCAAAGTGACGGTCAAACAGCTCAAAGGAACGGTAACAAAGGTCAATGTGTGATGTCATCAGGTGGATACGGAGACATTAAAAAAACGACTTTTGTCTCCTAGTAGATTCTGAAGAAGCTTGTCACAGGCGTTTCCATTCCCGTCACGTGTAAAATCAGAATCCTGCCTTCGGTAAGATGTGAACATTATCCCTGTGTGTGTCAAATTACTTTTTAAAATGTTAGTCCCCTTGTCATTGTTTTTTACATTCAATCTCAAAAATGTGATTAACATTCACTTCCTGACGACCTGGATGCTCTGTTCTTCTGGTTTCAGGTGGAGGACACGGTCAGTCTGGTCCAGAGGATCGAGAAGACCGGCGTCGCTGCTGTGGCTGTTCACGGCAGGTAAACAGCAGCACATACTCGTCACACCATGAACGCCGGCTCGGGGAGGGATGTTCATTCTCTCGCACAGGAACACATTCAAAAACAAACATGCGTCCAATCAGCAGTCGGCGGTGGGCTCCAACTGTCAGCTCTCACGCAAGCACTCAGTCTCTGTCTGAGGTTCTCTTGTGCGTCTTGGTCGGTCAATCGATGAGAAACAGAAACACTGAGGTGGTAGATATCCGTCTTCACTGCTGCTTCACAGTCGGGTCAGCCGCTCTGCGTTGAGATCCACCCCGGACACTTAACACACCTGGACCACAACAGAGTTAATTAATTAGCCCCACCTACTACCAGCCAGCCAACTTCAAAACAGGAAGTCATGCTGACTAAGAGATACCATATCTCCATTTTCAGAGTTATTTTTACATCTTTATTGACTTTTCAGATGCTTTTATAACATTTTTTACGCATTTTATACTTTGCCTTCTTGAGATCTGATCCCTCTCATCTGCTGCTCTTCTTGTTAAACTGCACATTTTGTCTTCACCTAATGTTTACCTGGTGTGTTTGAGGGCCGTCTGCTTCATGTCTACAGTGTTCCTGTGTTTACCTGAAACATGTCCGTGTTGCTCTTCTGGTTGTTGTGTTGCTCAGGTTAAAGGAGGAGCGTCCTCGACATCCCCTTCACTGTGATTACATTCAGGCCGTCGCTCGGGCTGTTTCCATCCCTGTCATCGCCAAGTAAGACTCAAACACTCTGCAAACTTTTCTCCTGACAGAAAAAAAAAGATCAAACGTGTTCGTTTTATTAAAAAGTTATTACACCCGGTGTCTGTCCTTCTCTCCTGCAGCGGAGGCTCTCTTGACATGGTGAAGACAAACGCAGACATCGAGGAGTTCAGGAAGGCGACGGGAGCTTCTTCCGTCATGTTGGCACGCGCAGCCATGTGGAATGCATCCGTGTTCACCGACCAGGGGCCGCTACCTTTGGAGAAGGTCATGGAGGACTATCTTAAATATGTGAGTTTGTGCACAATCGCAGAATGATATCTAAAACAGGAGACATCAGAGTTTTTAAGATGTCTTCACTTGGGGGCACTGGATAGCCTAGCAGATATGTCGCTCGCCCCATGTACAGTTGTAGCGCTCGTCAATTCAAATCCCACCTGTGCCCTTTGCTGCATGTCATACCAACACTTCTTGTCTCTCCTCAGCTGTCCTCCTCAGCTGGCAAAAAAAAAAAGACGTCTTCACTTCATTGATTGGACGGTTGTGTTTTGTCTCTCTCAGGCGATCCGGTACGACAACAACGCCTACAACTCAAAGTACTGTCTGTGTCAGATGCTCCGAGACAAGGTGGAATCTCCTCTGGGGAAACAGGTCCAGGCGGCTCAGACCACCGCAGAGATCAGGTACTGGACTTTATTCTGGACTCTGTGGTGTTGACTGTTTGGGTGTGATGTCATGTTTTGGGTAATGTGATGTGATGTTGTGATGCAGTGAGGCGTACGGGCTGCAGGAGTTTTACCAGCAGATTCAGAGCGAGCAGCAGAGCAGGAAGGACGCCCTGCAGACCGACAGCCAGCCGGACCACCCCGTGATGGACGGAGACATCACCACCATGGCGGTGAAGTTTGAGCGGTCAGTTCTCAGGCTCCCTATCTCATTTAAAATACAAAACAAATAAAAAGGGCATCAGTCCAACAATCTTGAATTCTGTGTCACTTTAACTCTTGAATTCAACCATGCTTTTATTTTGAAGGACCTTCTGATTAGCCACTGAAAAAGGAACCTGTCACGCATACAAACTATTAGAAAAGAAAAGTCTAAACCTGCTGCGTTAACGTTCATTAGAAGGTTGAATTCAGGCTCATTAGACTCCTCAAGCTCGTTTCAGTGATTATATGAGAAGGTAAAACACGCTGAGGATAAACTGGTGTTGGTTATGAGAAGTTGAATGATCTCTACCTGTGTTTCTTTTTGGCTTGTAGGAGGGAGTATCCGCCTCACATCACTCCGAAGATGTTCCTGCTGGAGTGGAGCCGCAAGGAGAAGCTGGAGCAGCCGCTTTATGAGACGGTGAGAGTCAACAGAGTTACTAAAGTCTGTCCTGTGAGCTTCTGTAGAGATGAAGCTGACTCAGAAACAGGTGCTTCAAAAACCCAGAGTTCATCGAGTGAGGCTAAGATGTTCCTGCTGGTTCCATATGACTTGGTGTGTTGGGTTCACATTCAAACAGAGGTCGATTGTCTTTATCTCTATACAAGAAAAATAAATACTACAGATGATTATAATACCCTGTAAGTTAGGATTTTAAAAGCACATCATGTAAGTTTGTAAAGACCTTATTTAATGCTATATTAAAAAGATCCGGCCTATCCATCATGAGCAATTTAGCAAAGCAGCAAAAGTTACATTGGTAAGGAAAAACTGCCTTATTAAAAGGCAGAACTCTTCGGCCGGATCCCCGGCTCATGACAAAACAACCTTCACAGGCCTAGACTGTGCCGGGCTTGGAAAGGGATAGGGGGAGAGATGGGATAAAATGCAGGAGAGGGATAGGGAACAGTGGGGAGGTGGGGGGGGTTGTTGTTCAGGCAGGCCGGCCACCAACGATCCCGAGGAGCCTAAAAGAGCTCAGGAACTCCCAGGAAGTCAGAACAGTTGTTGATTTTGTTTTATTTTTACTAACATCTGATCAAAGTTTAAAATTCTGGTATCATGACAACCCTAACAGTCAGTAAACGATGTCAAATGGGAGTGTGGCTAACGTTAGCATTGCTAACAACACCAGCCTTCAGCCGTCCTTGCAGGTTAACGTCCACATGTCTGTACTAAATGTGGTTACACATCGCTCCGGTCAATCTGTCAGTTTAACCTGAAACAGGCGAGACATAACTTTATCAAACGGCGTTGTGTTATGGGATGCCATTCTTCCACTGTCCTGCTGTTAACCTCAGGGTCAAAGTGCAGCTTTAGGCTGGATGGCAGCATCCAATGAGCGGAGCTCCCTGGGGACCTATGCTAGGATCCTTCAGCTCGGCTTTCAGAACCATCATCCCGGACATCCTGCACCAGAAACTCACCCAGCTCACAGTGCCGGCCTCCACCTGTCAGTGGATTACCAACTTCCTGACTGACAGGAGACAGCCGATGAGGCTGGGGAGCACTACATCTAACACCTGGGCAGTCAGCCCTGGTGCCTCCCAGGGGTGTGTTCTCTCCCCACTGCTCTTCTCCCTCTACACCAATGACTGCACCTCAGGGGACCCTTCTGTGAAACTCCTGAAATTTGCAGACGACACCACCGTCATCAGTCTCATCGAGGACGGAGACGAGTCTGCTTACAGACGGGAGGTGGAACAGCTGGCTCTCTGGTGCAGTCAGAACCATCTGGAGCTGTACTCGCTCAAGACTGTGGAGATGACAGTGGACTTCAGGAGAAGCCCCCCACCCCTCCCCCCTCACCATTCTGAACAGCATAGTGTCTACTGTGGACTCCTTGGATCCACAATCTCTCGAGACCTGAAGTGGACCTCCCACATAGACACAATCAGAAAGAAGGCCCATCAGAGGATGTACTTCCTGCGTCAGCTCAGGAAGTTCAACCTGCCCCAGGAGCTGCTGGAGATCATGTTTTACACCGCCATCACCCAGTCTGTTCTCTGCACCTCCATCACTGTCTGGTTTGGATCTGCAACCAAACTGGACAGACACAGACTGCAACGGACTATAAGGACTGCAGAAAAAATAATCGGTGTCGACCTGCCCCCCATCCAGGACTTATACCAGTCCCGGGCCAGGAAACGGGCAGGTAGTATCACTGCAGGCTCCTCACACCCCGGAAACAAACTTTTCAAACTCCTCCCCTCCGGCAAGCGTTACAGAACACTGTACGCAAAAACAACCCGTCATAAGAACAGTTTCTTCCCCCAGGCTGTCACTCTGATGATCGCTAAACAGTCACAGAGTGTCAGACCTGTCGCGGTGAAATGACTCTAAACCAACCGTCACTGTGAATATACATATGTGTGTGTGTATATATATATATATATATATATATATTATTTAATTTAAATGATCAATATACGCACACTTATTTATGTAAATACTGTAATTGACATCTTAATTGACCCATCTGTCACATAACTGCATTTTACTTATCATGTTACTTCAGCATCTTTTGCACTATTCACCACTGCACTGTTTCATGTTTAGTCATGTAAATATTAGTCTTTTCTTATTATGTCTATTGTTGATATTTAATGTTGCACCTGTACATAAGAGAGCACAGTTCAACAAAGTTAAATTCCTTGTGTGTGTAAGCATACCTGGCCAATAAATCTGATTCTGATTCTGAGCTACAGCTCCAACTAGTGGCGGCTGGCTACGCTACACAAACTGTGACAGGATTTGGAGTGCCTGACAAAGTGCAGATTGAAAACAAACTGAACCAAATAAAAAATGCACCAATGTGACAACTTCACCCCGAGTTCAACTTAGTGTGAAAGAGACCTTAGACGTCTGGTTTTGTTGTCGTGGTATTCAAACAGATATCGATATAATTTGATTTTTACTAGTTCCATATCGAGGTTTTCATTCTGGTATCGTGACATCCCGAGTCTGTGTTGTGTTTTCAGGTGCAGCGCTCTCAGGACCGAGCCTTCCAGTCCACCGTCACCGTTGCAGGCAAGAAGTACCGATCATCTCTGTGGTCAGTAAACACAACATTCACAGAGAAAGCTTGACGTGTTATGAAAGAGATCCACAGAGGGATTCTAATATTTAATCCTCTCAACTTTTCCAGGGAGAAGTCGAAGAAATTCGCAGAGCAAGCTGCCGCCGTCGTCTGCCTGCGAATTCTTGGCGTACCCGAGGGTCGTATCGGCGAGGAGGACTCCGGTCTGGTTTGCAAGAGGAAGAGGGACGGGAAGCTGAACGGCACCACAGAAGAAGAGGGGAGCAAGAAGCGACATGTAGTTGATATCCAACAGGAAACGGACGATACAGAGACCGCCGTGGTGGCTAACGGGGACCATGGCGACCCCGACACGCCTCCAGAACGAGCGTAGAGTTTGTTTAGGACGGTGAAAAACTTTTAAGTCTAAACAAAAGGATGAAACGTCTCGAACAAACGATGGACGTTTGCGTGAAGCAGAGGAAGGAATCAAGGAGTTCAAAGACGCGGCCTTCAGAGGTGATTTTAATTTTTCCGCAGCTCGACCTCTTCACCTTTTTCTTTGTTTGAACATTTTGTATCATCCTGGAAAGTGACATCGAAGTTTCAGTTCTTTGTCCTCAAACAAAAACCGCAGCTACTCGACTGGCAGAATATTCTTAAGCTTTTATTTTTCACTTGTATCTCTTAATGAGAACGGTTTCTACATGTTCAAACTGGGATCTTCCTCCTGGATATTCAAAGTAAACAACCCTCCAGATTTGGCATCAATATAAACGTCATATTTTATTTTTTTTACCTGCTTACTGAACACTACCAGGAGAGAGTTTGCAGCCAGCAGGGGGCAGATATTCATTTAAACCATGTGGCAACCTCCTGTGATGAAATATGAAGCTGAGGCAGAAGTGTAAAAATCCTGCAGTTCCTCAAGTGTCCACTAGAGGGTGGCTGCAGAAGCACAGGAAGTCACATACACACCCATTCTAAAAAGCCTGTTTTTACAGCAGAGATTAACATGTTTACAGCCTGGTTCAGAACACCAAATAGGTTCTGATTCGCTCATGTCTCGATCGACACACACTGTACGGGGGGTGAATGTTTTGATGACTCATCAGTTTTGATTTGATGAAGGATAAGAGTTATTCACAATAAGGAGTGTAGCTGACCTGATTGACAGGTGGGCGCGGTGTAACGGTTTGTCAGGAGGCTTAAAACCCGCCTCAGCTCCAGCTCTCAGCCTGTCGTTAGGTTGACTGAAAGTTAGGCTGAGACAGCATTTCCAGCATGGAGACCACCATTGATGGGACTCCAGCGCCCCCTGCAGGAACAGATGGGGGACGTCACTCAGGCTTCGTCCATTCATATTTACAGTCTGTGATTTAAACCTGTGCCTTAGAGAAAAACATGTTTTATTGTCCTCTGATTTTTTGGGATGGACGTTAAACTCATTTGCCTTCTGGTTTGCATCTTTCAGTTTCTGTTAAATGAGACAAACTCTGGTTGAAATGAGTCTGACTGTATTTTTATTGTCATCAGAATATAAAGCAGATACACAGTGGGAACAATGTTTCTTTTGTACTTCTGTCCAAGTCTTGAAATCAAATTAGCCGGCAAGTCGGAATATTCGGTTTGTCTAGAAGAGAAAAAATCAAAATGCGGAGACCAAAGTTTAAATTTAAAGCACTTAAATGCATCTCCAAATTTAAGTGCCAGACGTACGAACAAAAAAATAATTAAGATGGTAATATATCTAATTATAAAGTAGAGAATACTTGGTTGAAAATATTCAATCTGAGAGAATAAAGCAACTAATTTGTCCAGAAAAAAATAGATCAAGTGAGAACAATTTGAATTTTAACTTTTTGTTTTGTTTGTAACTTAGTCCCTAATGTAACTACCACATCCTGGTAGAGCTGCTTAAAAATAATTAAATAGTCAAACTTTGGCGTGACGTAGGTGACAGAATAATTAAAATATCAGTGGACATGTCGTTTAATTGATCCGCAGCCTTTGCTCCTTTGATTAAAAGTCCCGATTTGAACCTGAGAGACGGTGACACCCAGCCACTGACGTCATCACCGAGCTTGCTAATGGTACGTTCAGGGAAAATGGGAAACATGAGAGTTCAGATCTGTTTGATAACACAGCCGTATGCAGTGCTTTCAAACTTAAGTTGCTTCAGAATGTGTACGAATGGAATTAAATTAGCAATTTATATTGTCTTTGTTTATTCAAGTGAGTAGTTTAATTTATAGTTTTTGTCTGATTATTAACCAAAAATATCTTGGTTGGAAGATTTCAAATTAAATAAATTACCGTCACACTGGGACAATTAACTGAATCTGACAAGAAGCTCCAAATTACACACTTCCATATTTTAAAATCGTAATACGGAATAAGTTTTTGTAGCTGATGTGTCAATTAAAAAAGTGTCGAAACGGGTTTTTGTCTTTTCCTGACTTCGTTGTCTTCAGTAACACAGACTTTACGTGAAGACCATGAACGCAGCATGAGGATCAACCTGGAGAGTTAAAACTCAACGGAACACAAACACCGAATACAACAACTTCTCACAATAATGGGAGTTTTACGGTTACGCCACGGAGCACGGAGGCGTATTTTCTGACCGTGTGCGTGTCGGTTGTCAACTTTTAGTCGGGGAATCGGTCGACGTGTTGCTCGCGCTCTAGTTTCAACAAGAGTTCTGCTTTCAGGCGGATGGAAGTGAGTGAGACAGGTCACTTTTAGAGACAGACGGGTCGGTGTTTTAACCTGCCGTGGAGGACGTTTAACGGGTCCCCGGTTCGATGTCCACGTTAAACTGCGCGGAGGAGCTGGACTTCAGACTCATCTTTGAGGAGGACGGAAGACAGACAGCAGGTACGTGTCGTTTTGGCGACGATAGTTTGCAATTTGTCAACTTTAGTAAGCTAGCAGCAACTACGCGGTGTCAACGGATGTTACCACTGTGGACTTCAAAATAAAATAAACGAATACAACTGTGAAAGGAAATACCAAATCAGATTCATAGATACATACATATTGTACAACATTGTTATATCGTTATATACTATTGTTGATGTACCATTATTACATAATCTCTGATTTATATAATAACGTTTAAATAAATTAAAATAAAAGTAGGTATTTGCTTACTTGAACGTTCTTTTCTAAAAGTAAAAAAGACAAAAAAGGATAATCTTAAATCTTGATTGGAAAGGAAATGTACAATTAGATATGCAAATATTCACATTTGAGGAATACTAATTATAGTAAATGTTATTTATACGGCACCTTCCATAAAATGTTAAGAGCTTCGCAAAAAAATAAAGGAAAGTATGTTAAAAAAACTGAGATGAAAATGTAAAAGTTAAAAATACGATTAAAGAGAGGAAAGAGAAATACATCAGAGTAAAGAATTTATAAAAGCTGTTTTTCCTAATAACATAGTCTTAAGACTTAGATTGGAATGATTTTAATCCTGTTATTTAACACAATTTTCTATTTATCTAAGTATTTTGATTGATATTGTAGTATTTCATTTACATTTTAACATAAACAATCTAATTGTGGACATATCACCTGTAAAAGCGATAACCGTAACATTGGTAATTTACTTTGAAAATTATAACCGGAAGTGATGCCTTTATTATTTTGTTGTTTTGACACTAACAGCTGTCTGTTGACATATTTAGGCGAATATTAAAATGTGGATAAGGAGATGAAGAAGTGACTTAATCAGTTTTAATTTGAAACCACTGAAGGCTGCAGAGAGTCTTTAACGTATCGATGATTATTATTGATTAGTTAGCTGGAGTTTTTATCGATTGAACAGCAGGCTTAACTAGTTGCTGCAATCATTTTGGAGCAGTTAATGTTAATATTTGTAAGCATTAAAACCCATTTTAGGAGCCAAATCATCTGAAGTGACAGATGCAACGAGGGTTGTAAAGATCTCAGAGTTGTTTTTAAAAATGATTTTACATGTTTTATTAATCCCAGACATGCTCTACACTCACATAAATACACACACATGCACAAACAGGATCTCGTGGTCATGCACAAATGGAGAGATGTCAGAGTGAGGTGGCTGCACATGACAGAGCAGTTGGAGATTATGTTCTGTGCCTTGCTCAAGGGCACATCGGCAGTGCTCAGGAAGTGACCTGGCACCTGCTACCAGACCAACTTCTAAACTTTGGTCCGCACCGAGACTTGAAAAGGCGACCCTCTGGTTCCAAACTCAAGTCACTACAGAATGAGCTACTTCGAAGTCAGTCAGCCAGTAGTGTTAGCTCTCTCCCCTCACAGTGAGGAGGTTCCTGGTTTGAATCCCCGATGGGAGCCTCTCTGTGTGGAGTTTGCATGTTCTCCCTGTGCATCCGGGTACTCCGGCTTCCTCCCACAGTCCAAAGACATGCTCGTTAGGTTAACTGGTGACTCGAAATTCCCCATAGGGGTGAATGTGAGTGTGGCTGGGGAACAGTCCAGGGTGTAACCCCAACTCTCACCCAATGACAGCTTGGATTGGACCCATCCCCCCGTGACCCTGAACAGGAAAAGCGGTAAAGATAATGGACGGGTTGATGGATGCAGGCAGTCTCCTGCACACTGTCTAAAATACACAGATTTCGTTTCATTACTAAAAAAATGTATATACACAACTGTTGCCCAATTCTATCTGCTCCTCAACTCACCTGCTGTGCTATCATTGGCTGGAGGAAACACACCAGCTCCGCCCAGAAACATCCCGAGTCAACCAGAACAAAGCAGAACAGTAAAATCCAGTCAGAGGACAGAGTCTCTGCAGACACAGTCACCACCACACATGTATGGAGGCCCAGAAGGGACGATGGAGCAGCTTTATTTTAGGAGAAGTCTGTATTTTAATTTGAAGGAGAAAGCTGCTGACTCCATCTTTAAAGTCTCCATGAAACAGCACTTCAAGAGTCTCTTTTTCAAAAATGACCCCTACCTCAGTTTGTGAGGTAACAGACAATGACGCACTAATTTTGATAACAGATGGATGATGAAGTAATTTACTCAACATGACCAAGCTTTATGAGGTATATTAGACGTTCTCAGGCTGTTCATCAGTTTGACTTCTTTTCCTCGTTTCATATGAAACTGATTTGATTTCGTTTTCATTTTTTCAGTCACAACAAGCACGACATTTAAAGACATAAGTGTGTTTTGATGTTTTAAAGATCGAGCGGTAAATCAATGAATCCCGGAAATAACCTGAAAAGAATTAATTAATAAAGCTGCTGCCCTCGTTGACTTTTCTGTTCTGCTTTTAAATAGTCATTCAGGATGAGGGCCCGACAGATACGAGATATGTAGCGATAGATAGATATAGAAATACATTTATTGTATTGTTTTTATTAATTGTTGGTTATTATTAACGCCTGAGCGATTAATCAGTCGGGCTCTATGCAGGGTTGCAAAAAGATAGTTGTGGCAGTATTTTCTGCAGAGTGAAGAACCAACTCTTGATTGATTAATCCTTTTAGCTCTACGCTGATTCAGTTACAGTAAATTGTGCCTCAGAGGATTGTGTAGTTTTGGATAATTGGATTAATGAGTCTTCCTTTGAAAGCAACGTCTTACACATGCAGTGAAGTGGTGCCTTTATATGTTTTTTATATGTGAGCTCAGCTGTCTGAAGTTCAACATTTATCTCTAAAGGTTAAATTAACTTGTGAAATCAGAGATTTATGGAGCCTAAAGTACATATAGAGGACGGATGTGGATCAGCTCTGAAGATGAGTCAGTTTCACAGAAGTGAAAACACAAAGTGTCCTTGTGTTTAAAGCAACAGTATACTTTTCCACCTAAAATAGTTTTCTAAAAATTGGATGCAACATACAGTCAGCTCACGGCTCAATAACTTCCTCGGTTTTGTGGTCACAGTTTTTGGTTCGGTTTGGGCCGTACCGGGGCAAGGATTACAAAAAACAAAACATTTTTTAATTGTATTTATTTATTTTACTTTTAAGCAAAAAAAAAAACGGTTCCATGTATACCCATTCCCTGTGTTTGGTGTAAAGTCTCAATGACATGAAGTGCCATGTAGAAATGTACAAAAAGGAAGACATTTCAGTGTTTTAAAATTTATTTTTGTGTAATTTCCGCAGACTTTCAGGTTGAAAAAGGTCATAAAGTGTTGATATTTCAAGGTGTACGTTAGCTTAGTTTTTAACGCTGCTTCTCCGTTCTCACCATTTCTGCATCTCGCAGGGATCAGTAGGTGGCTGAGTGACAACCTGCTAACGTCACAGCCTGCTAACGCCACAGCCTGCTAACGCCACAGCATGCTAACGCCACAGCCTGCTTACGGCACAGCATGCTAATGTCACAGCCTGCTAATGGTCAAAGCCTGATAACATCACAGCATGCTAACGCCAAAGCCTGATAACATCACAGCATGCTAACGTTACAATCTGCTAATGTCACAATCTGCTAATGTCACATCCTGCTAATGTCACAGCCTGCTAACATCAAAGCCTGATAACATCACATCATGCTAACGTTACAGTTTGCTAACGTCACAGCTTGCTGTAGTCTGTTGCTGTAAACTTTTAGCCAAACTCCGTATTTCTATTTGAGTGGGCGACACATGTTAAACGATGTGTGCGGACATTATTTTGTCAACATTTTCTCTTCCTTGTCTTTTTACCCGACACTGAAACATCTCCACAACACTAACTAAAAAGATGGCGGCGTTTCTTCATCCTGCTGACTCTCCTAACCGCTCGCCATGTTAAAGTAATGTGAAGTGTTGTCAGCTTCCCCAACTATAGATTGGATATTTGTTTCGGGGGAAGGGTTTCCTTATCCCAGCGCATGTACTCACAGGCACCCACAAACAGAGCCAAGTCTGAGAGAAATACTTTGCATGGAAGTTCGTTGTATGCAAATTTGTAAAACCGCCGTGTACGAGCACGACCTGAACCGTGGAGGCCAAACCGAAAGGTTCAATATTATATTCAGAATTGTTGCATTCCTAGTATAAGGGTTGACATAATAAACAATGACTTTCATCAGGGAAAACGTTTTCTCTCTGATGCCTGCTGTGGGCCACCTGCTATTGGCACTAATTAACTTTGGCGAGCTGTAAAGGTGTCCGTGTTTCCCCCGTTTGAAATACAGCCACCACTATGCTGTTTGCTAACTTGTTAGCAAAGACAACCTGAAGGAGGTCCAGTAGTTCTAGCTGAAAGGTGGCATATCGCCACCGACTGTAGTGGAGACAGAGACATTTTTTTAAGTAAATGGATTCTCCCTCGGCGTATTCGAGGACGAGATCAGTATTTCATGTAAATGTCCTCATCGAGTTGTAACTGTTGCTTCACTTAACAGTGAATGGAAACATGCTGAGCCTCACATATACAAGAATCTTTAATAAATATACTTATTTGGCTTTTGAGTCTTTATCTGTAGTTCAGTCCCCTGCTGTACCACATGGCATCAACCAGAAAATGAATAAGACAAAAGTGCTGCAGCTGAAGAAGCACAGAGGAAGTCTGACGGTGATGAAATTGAGCCCATTTCATAAATGCGAAAGCAGCGAGCACATTCTCATAAACATTCAACAGCTAAAATAAATAAAGCAATAAAAAGATGGATGCACAGTGAGATAGATAGATAGATAGATAGATGGATACATAGATAAGAGAGATAGGAGGGTGGTTGTGTCTCAGACAGAAAGACGCCCAGCCGGTCTGCTGGCAGTTTTTACTTCCTGGTTTTCTAACTGCTCTGTGGCACCCAGCTGGTGGCATCTCCTCCCCCCCTCTTTCTGCCCCAGAGGGCGGGAGGGCATACGTGGCATCATGTCTCATTTATCTCCCTTCAGCACACTGAGGGTTATTGTTTGTAAAGAAGCAGCAAGTGGAGCTGTTCTAGCCGATCACTGGTTCTGCTTTGTCGCCTTTTTTTGCATATGTAGCATGCAAGGTGTGTGAGAGCGAGAAAGAGGGGTATTATTAGTAGTGTTGTGGTTGAGAGTGTGTGTGCAGCTGTGTGAATGAACATACTGAAGTGTTGAGGAGAATTTGTGACTACAACTAGCTCGGTTTATGAACCCAGCTTGTCATGAAACCAATACCTGATTCTCTACCATGGCCACAAAAAATCCCAGGCAGGCGCCCAATATTTGGTCATTTCTTGGTTTAAATAAAACGTCAATGCTAAAAAAATTGCCAAAGTATTCATGCAGTTTAGACAGAGTCAGCTCCTCGGCTCTCTGTCAGTCTGTTTGTTGGGAGATAAATGTAAATTTTGCATCTTTATAGGGCGTCGTATTTGCCAACCTGTGAATTAGAATGCATCACCGCTGTCTTTTAGTTGCAGAAGTTTTTGGTCAGATTATAACTGATTAGGGTCTGGATTTGTTTGTGGGGGGGAGGAGACAGCTCTGAACAGTTTTGAAGTTAGACTGCAGTACCCATTTTAAATGCTACGTGTCAGTTACATATTGCTCCTTTAATAGTTGACTTTAACAACTGATGTTGAAATGCCAAAATAATTCGATGTTTTTTTGTTGTTTGCATATTTTGAAAGAGTCTGCTGCTATATGGCAGCTAAAAGATAAAAGGTGTTTGCAATTCAAATAATGACACACCTGATTTACATGTTGGTTAATCTCTGTCACCTCATAGGTCCAGATCTCAATGTGAGGACACCTCACACCTCCACTCAGGCTCTGACCAGACAGCCCGTCCTCCAGGAGCTGCACAGTCACCCTCCATGTCTCCCCTCCTCAGACAACTACCAGCATGTCGGATACCAGCCACAGGGGGCCCAATATGGGGCCCAGGGAAACCCCAGAGCCTTTGACTGCCCCAGTATACAGATAACCTCCATAGCTCCGAACAACCATGTGGAGCTGGGTAGTAGCCAGGAAGGTTTGGCGGTGGGTGGAGCAGAGGGGGGTTACTCTGAGGCTTCCTGGTCCAGGGGCCAGCTCTACCTGCCCCTTGACTCCTGCTACAGAGACCAGGCGCTGTGCCCAAGCCCCTGCAGCAGCCTGTCCTCGAGGAGCTGGATGTCCGACCTCTCCTCCTGTGAGTCCTTCTCCCATGTTTACGACGACGTGGAAGGGGAGCTGAGGGACGCCGCCCGCCTCGCTCTGGGATCTCCCATCGGGTCACCCATGGGGTCCCCGGGCTGTGGGGGCGGGGCCTTCGGGGTGGAACTGTGGCAACAGAAGTACCAGCATCCTCTAGCGTTCAGTCCACAGCTGTCGCCTCATCAGTCACCCCGTCAGTCACCCTGTCACTCCCCCCGTACCAGTGTCACAGAGGAGAGCTGGCTGAGCCGCCGCCCCACCTCCAGGTACATGACATCATGTTTTCCTAAATATTTAACAGGAAGCATAATTAACATTAATTTCTTTTTCCTGAGAGTCTTAAAACTGAGGTATTAATAGTCAATAGACACCAACAAAATAAACAATTTCCTCTTAGTTGGTTCAACAGCAAAAACTGTAAATATACCAGGGTGAAGCCAGTGAAGTCACCCATGGGTTACTGAAGGGGGCTACATAATTTTTCCAGTAGTAAAGGAACTACGCTTCCCACAATCCATTGCACTTTTTAAACTTATTGTAGTGTTTTTACTGTTAATAATAATGTTGTTGTAGTTTGTCTATAGTGTGTTGAACTTCAGTGGTAGCAGTGACAGCTAAACTTTGCGAGGGTGGTAAGCATTGCCGTGGTAACAGCTGAGCTGGCTCCACCAATCAGAGACGTCGCTGTGGCACTCTAGGATTGTGGGTAGTGTAGTTCTGCCCCCTGAGATCACAATTAAACCATGTTTTGTTTTTGTTTTTTACGAGGTTGATATCATACAAACTTGTGTCTTCTACACAAGCATATCATCGTTTCACACACTCAATGGGATTTTAACTTTCACAACCACACTGTTGAGCTCCATGGTTGATTGATTGTATGTGACATAATAGGTCAACCAAAAGAAGGTCCAATAGTTACAGTGGGGGGATATCGCCATCTACTGTAGTGGAGTCGGACACACTTCCGTCAATAAATCGATTCTCCCCTGATGTACACACTGGGACACAAACAGTAACATTTAAATGGACTAATTAAACTACAACTGCTCAACTTAACTGTGCATGAAAACATACTGACTGACTGACACCTTTTAAAGTCCTGCTAATCCTAAATGGACTTTTCTTGTAGACCAACCTCCAGACCGACCTCCCCGTGTGGGAAGAGACGTCACTCCAGTGCCGACCCCCACGCCCGCTCTCCCTCCCCACATCACTCCCCAAGCCCCACGCCAGGTGCCTCGCCACGAGGTAGCATCACTGGTGATGACAGCTGGGTAGGTAGCCCAGCTGGCACCCTTGGTTCCCTCCTGATGTCTGGGTACCAAGAGCTAGATGTCCCCTCCAAGACCAGGAAGACGTCTGGAAGCCAGCTGGGCCTCCTCAACAGTCAGGGTGACATGGGGCTGGAGTCCTTCCTGGATTCCCCCGGGGAGGAGGGACGTGAACAGGACAGCCTGGCTGAGCTCTTCCTTCAGGTGCCGTCCCACTTCAGCTGGAACAAACCCAAACCTGGAAACCCTCCTCTGTTCAGGTTGGCTCTGTTTTCATTCATTCACTCAACTTTTATTTAATCTTGAGATATAATTGAGAGTATGTCCTCTTATATTCACATCAAGACTACAAACATCAGAGTACATTTCAAACAAACAAACAAACACATAATCAAGCCAACAAAAAAAATGTAAGTAACATGAAATGAAAACAGGAAAAAAGCTGAGAAAGCTGAGAACAGTTAAAACTGTTTTATTCATTACCCATGATAACAATTAAATGTAATATTTAAAGGTCACATATTCTCCTCCTCTTCAGTGTAAATAAGTCTCAGAGCTCCTTAAAACATGTCTGTGAAGTTTCTTGTTCTAAATCCACTCTGATCCTGTATTTGATCATGCTTATAAACCCCTCTATTTCAGCCCTGCTCAGAACAGGCTGTTTCTGTGTCTGTACCTTTAAATGTAAATGAGCTGTGTCTGACCACGCCCCCTCTCTGGAAGGGCTTGGGTGTCTCGGGCTTTCTCGCTCCATGTCCTATTGTTTACGGTGAGAAGGCAGACTCAGAGGACAGAACAAACACCTAGCTGTGGGAGTGTTACCCACCTGGGGGAGGGGTTACTGCCCTTTGTGATGTCATGAAGGGAAAATCTCCAAACGGCCTGTTTGAGCACATATTTTCTGAAAAGTGGAGCAGGCAAATGTGAGTTTTAAAGTTTTCCAAATGTGTGCCGCACAAAAGGTAAAGGATATTTTCCAAGGAGAAGGACAGGTGAAAAACGTCTTCAAGATCTTTAACGAAGTTCAGTTGTCTTTGGCTCAAGCGTCCCTTTTATAGGGACGTTTTTTACTTGGAATGCGGCCATGCTAGCTTCTTCATCATGCTATGATAAGCGAAACGTCTTTCAGCAGTAGCCTCATTGATTGATTAGTAAACAGAGACTGAGCGGTAAAATCTGAAAAGGAAACATTCTTTAGGATCACTTAAACTCCATTCAAAGATCCATGTTGTCTGATCATTGTGTGTATGTTGTTTCTGCCTCCAGGACCTCTTCGCCCCCTCCTCTGGACTGGCCTCTGCCCAGCCAGTTTGACCAGTGTGAGCTGAAGCTGGAGGTCCAGCCTCGGTCCTACCACAGAGCACATTACGAGACGGAGGGCAGCAGAGGCTCCATTAAAGCCGCGACTACAGGACATCCAGTTGTTAAGGTAAATCTTCACTTCTGACTCTGTAACTCAGTTTGACTTCTCCCTGACTTTTATTTCATTTTTTGCTCCTGCAACTTCCAATCTGAACTTTATTCTTAGGTCTTTTGTCCAGCCTCTGAAAAAGAGGCTTTAAATAAATTTTCTGGGAAAATGATGACAAACTCACAGGCCGTTATTTTGGGAAAGTAATGACGAATGAACACAAGCCATGTCTGCACAGCTACATTTTCTTTTTAAAACAGAAATAACCTCCTCATCCATAAGAGCACTTTGTTAACTTCATAACGACATGCCTGGAAATTCAGAGTACGTGACCAATAATGTACTGATGGCATCCTGTGTAGCCGGTACACACAAAACAGGCACTGTCTGTTGTCCTCCGAAGAGAGCAGATAAAGCAGCTGGAGACAAGAACTATCTGAATAATAACTTCCTTTGTGTGCAAGCTGACTGTAGTGATATTTAGAAACACACTATTAAAGTGCACAACAGCAGCTGGCTGTGACAGCAAGGTCAGCTGAACCTTTAGGACGCTGAGAGAATTACAGTACATTGCTTTTGTATTTAAAATCTATGCTGCCTTCACAAACATCGCTGTGTGTGGCAGGAAATATGTGCAGATTTCCAGCTGACAGGGAATATTTGTAATTATGATATTAAGCTCGTGTTCGTTGGTGATGCTGAGTGAGAGAGTGAGAGCGTTATTCCCCCGGGGTGTATTTGAGCCGAGCATTTGAGACAACTGACACACACATCTGACTTCAGCCTCCGTCTGAGGAGGTTTCTATTGACAATTGTAAACGCTCAGTCCTAAATTGAACTCGTACAGTGTGAGCACATTAATCGAGATCTTTGGTCTCAGGTTGTATGCTAACATGCCACCACAACTTTTTTACAATCATACAGATTGTAAAAAAGCCGACTTAAGAGCGTTTCTCAGCACTGTGTGAATGTGTGTGTGTGTGTGTGTGTGTGTGTGTGTGTGTGTGTGTGTGTGTGTGTGTGTGTGTGTGTCTCTGTCGCAGACAGCAGGAGTAGGAGGGGAAGAGCATGCACACTTATTAATAAATAGTGCATCGTGCCCTCTCAGGCTGCCGTTACTACACCTGAGTGAGCGACCCAGTTAAAGTGTGTGTGTGTGTGGGAAATACTGGACGTTCATTACCTCCCCTACAGTCATTATAATGCCGACACACCTGACTGACAGAGGAAGCCTCGTGGGTTAAAGAAAATTTTGAAACTGGGGTTATCCGTTACTGGGCACACTTGTTCAATAAGCCTTCTCTAATTGGTTGCTTCACTGTACCTTGAGTTTTAACAGATTTTCTCATCATTTAAGATGATCTACATACACGACATTTAAGAAATCCCTCAACAGAGCCTTCAAACATGGGTACTCCGGCTTCCTCCCACAGTCCAAAGACATGCTCGTAAGGTTGACTGGTGACTCTAAATTGCCCGTAGGTGTGAATGTGAGTGTGTCTGGTTGTCTGTCTCTATTTGTCAGCCCTGTGATTGGCTGGTGAACAGTAGAATCACAGGCTGGTTGTACACCAACTCTCACACAATGGCAGCTGGTCTGTTTAAAAGATGAATTTAAAGACGGCACCATATCGTTTGGACAATAAAATGAGCAAATTCTGATTTATTCAATCGATAAATGTCTGAAGGTGTTGTCCTGTTATCAGAACACAACATGTTACAGATGTAGAGTCCTAACGGCACACAGTGATGAGCCAGCAGGGATGTATTAAAGAGTAAAGGTTGTGTTTTGCTGATGTGAACGGCCCCGTAGATCACAGAGGAGAGGCAGGCCGAGGCACGTAAAGCTCCATCAAGGCCTCGTATGTAACGGACACCAGCCGGGCTATTCTGGGTGTCACATTCTCAGGCTACTGCTAAAGTCAGACTAGCTTCCTGCTGCGAGATGTGTAAAAAGTCACACTGCTGCTGGGTAACACAGGAAACAGAAAGTCATGCTTACGACTGCAGGATGAATTTTTTTTAATTTGAGTGTGAAATCCTCAAAGACAGCAGAGTCCTCCAGAGGATCAATCCTGATGTGAAATATAAAATCCTGCTACAATACAAGTAGGTTTGTTAGGATGCTGCATAATTATACTTTGATACTATTCTGGTAAAAAATTATTATCATATGGATACCCAGTTAGATACCACAGCAACAAAAAATGGACGTCCTAGGCACCCAAAGTTTGGAAATTCTTGTATTTAATTACTTCTGCACTTTGTTGTTATACGGTGGCTCCAAGCGGCAAACTCTGGTGTTGAAAAATGAAGCCAGCAGGGATGTATTAACAAATGACACACCCACTCAAAAAAGCCTGTTTTTACATCAGAAATGAACATGTTTACGGCCTGGTTTCTCTCCTATAGACGGATAATTCTCCTCTTCATTTTGCTTGGTTGACTTTCATTTACAAACTTTGGTTTTCACAGGAATAGTGCATGCACCTTATAGCAGGGCAACAAGAGTGAGTGCTGTCAGATGGGGTCCCCTAAGGGCACGGTCACGGTCACACTGGTCATCTGTACCGTGCTGTACTCAAGCACGATTTCCCCCCCGCTGCGCCATTCCCACGCTGGCCGGCACGGCCCGCGGTCACACTGGCCAGGATTAACCGTGCCTAAAAGCAAGTACCTCTTGTACGTAACGTTGTAATACAACACATGCACGCTTTATGTTATTATGAAGCGTGCTCAGTTTACAAACAGGCGGACGAGAGAGAGAGAGAGAGAGAGAGAGAGAGAGAGAGAGAGACGCGCAGTGAGTCCGCGCGGACGCCCGAACATCGGAGAATAACACAGAGAACATGACAGCTACTTTGTGGCTTATATTGTGTCATTTTAGTCAGATACAGCCATGAAACTCTGGATTTCTCCATAATGAAGGCTGTCAGCGTTGTGTACCCGCGTGCTTGTGCATGAAGTGTACCGTGCCGAAGCACGATACAGAGCGGTCACACTGGCCAAACGAACTGGACTGTTGAAGCCAGTGAGACTGCGCCCTAAGGGAGGTTTCCTACAATCATTGCAAAATTTGCAAATTTTGTGCCACTGCTTTGGTTTAAGTCTGTGGGCTCTTAGGGGCCCCCTACTGGTCTGGGGTCCCAAGCAGTTGCCTGCCTTGCCTGTTGACAAGCAGTGCCTCTGATTAAACTTTTGCATTTTTCTGAGATGCCAAAAGGACTCGTAAGAAATGTAAGTTCATGCCAACCTGTGAATGTGAATGGACCACGGGGGCTCTCTTTCTTTCTTTTGCAGCAGCTTTTTTGTTAAAAAAATGACTAAAATCTGAATTTAGAAAAACATGGTGAAGCATGTTTTGCATAATATGTGACCTTTAAAAGTAAGTCAGGCTAATGCATACCTGAACTTAAAGACAGGAGATTGATGGCTCCCTTCATCTTACTCAATCAAAAAAAAATGTTCCTACATTTTTTTATATTCCTCTAAACTTTCATTATATTCTCCAGTAGGTCCAGTTGGAAACTGGAGAGCGAGAGAGTGGCGCATGACATGCCGATCAGGAGCCACAGGTTAGACTTGAACCTGTGCCGCCTTCTCTGAGGACTGTAACCTCCCTACATGGGGTGCGATCTAACCGCTAGGCCTACATTTGGCCTTCACATTTGGCCTTTTAATTGTCTCACCCTTCGTGGAATTTTCACACATGGAGACGGGGAATGAAGACGTATCGTCCCAACGAGTTTGAACAAGTCAAAGTGACATGACTGCTGAGATGTTCTGCAGGAAAATACCTGAACTTCACACAAGTTTTTATTGACTTTTGTCTTCAGCTGACAGGATATAGCGAGCAGCCAATCAGCCTGCTGTTGTTCATCGGCACCGCGGACGACCGTTACCTACGGCCTCACTCCTTCTACCAGGTCCACCGAGTGACAGGGAAGATGGTCACCACCAGCTGCCAGGAGAAGATTATGGGCGGCACCAAAGTCCTGGAGATCCCCCTGCTTCCAGAAAACAACATGTCAGCCAGGTAAAATAAGGGAAACCACATCAGAAATGAGTTTGAGTTTAATTTCCTGAGGCATACATCAGATTCAGACTTCAACATGGACTCATAGTGTCATTTCTGTGATCCTATCAGTGTAGAATATAAAATGGTATTAATAGCTGCAGTATAAGTTAAAGGTACAGGGGATGTTCCGCAACAAAAGAAGTTGCAATCAACAACCTGACCTTTCTGACTGAAACAGCTTCAAGCCCATTTCTACACAAGTCTTTATTTTCAAACCCTTGGAACAATAAATGTTTTTATTCGTTTTAATGTGTTAATTTCATGTCATGGAGTACCTCAGGGCTCAATTCTTGGCCCACTCTGGTCCTTTTATTTAACTTTATACTGAAGGCATAATGTTTATTTATCATTTATTATTACTGATGAAGGATGACTGCTGTAGCAAAACCATCTACTGTTTGACTGTTTGATGAACATTTTGTGAAAATGAATGATGATACCGATGTTTAAAATAATAATGTAGCTGATTACCGTGCCTTTGAGCTGTTTGACTTTTTTCTTTTTGTATGTGAATTTAACATGCTAACATATAAAACAGCATTCTGTAGCCCTGATGAAGCTCTGCAGGAAAGATGATATTAATATTTTAGGATTCACAGTATGTCTTCTTTACAGCATCGACTGCGCCGGCATCTTGAAGCTGCGTAACGCCGACATCGAGCTGAAGAAAGGAGAGACAGACATTGGACGTAAGAACACAAGGGTGCGAGTTGTGTTCAGGGTCGCCATCCCTCAGCTGGACGGACGGATGCTGTGGCTGCAGACAACGTCTGTCCCCGTAGAGTGCTGTGAGTCACCTGGAATCAGGGTTTCTGCAGATCCTTGAAAAGTCTTAAGAAGTCTTATTTTTACTTGTGAGGGGTCTTACATTTGAAATGGCCCTCTGAACGTGTCTGGATACTGTTTTTAAATCGACACTATCTGTTTAATGTAATTGGATTTTTGTCTAAGGGCGCACTCAAATATTCCCGTACCGTGCTAAAGCAGGATCCCCCCTCCTCACCATTCCCCCGCTGGTCTGCACTCACACTGCTCCAGGACTAACTGGGTCAGGGCCAAGGAAGTGTATCGAGCTTGAGCACAGATCTGAGCACTCACACTAGTCAAACGAACTGGACTTAAGGGGTGCAGTGTGTTTAGACATGGTGCGGATTGCTTAGTGTGAGTTCGCGCTTAGTTGATAATATTGTTATACATTTTTATGGCAGCGGTTTTCTTCAGTGAATCACTGACTGAAGCAGTTTTATGCTAAAATTAAGTGTCTTCTGCACGTCAGGGTGTCTGCATGTCGGGCTGCCAACAATGTAGCTCGTCTTGTTTTTGGGAATGCAGCTTACTTTAAAATTCTTTCAGTGTTCATCGTCATCAAGGTTTTTATCAAGAGTCAGATTCTCTGCTGAGTTCCCCACCTCTCCCGAACTAAAGGTCTCAGTTTTCTCCAACACTTTTCAAAAGCAACAGATGGTCTGAAGCGGCTACAAGCCAAGCCGAGCTGCTGCAAACATTTACTCCGCTTGTTTCTCCAATCACTAAACATCCAGATGTTGATGACTCAAGTCCTTCACCCAGTTAAAAGATTACGTTTAAAATGAGCAAAGTGTGTCATTGTTATCAGTAATCATAAGTATTATAATCCAGTACTAAGTTTACTTTCATGGCCAAGCCATGAAGAAAAACAGAAGAGGAAATGAAGTGGATGTGAGATATTGTGTTGACAAACACAGATTGTAATCAGTGAAGTGTGTTTCCTCATAAACTGTTTTGTGTTCCAGCCCAGCGCTCGGGCCAGGAGCTTCCTCAGGTGGAGAGCTTCAGTCCCACCTGCTGCTCTGTGGACGGAGGAGAGGAGCTGCTCATCATTGGTTCCAACATTTCCTCAACGTCCAGGTTCATTTTCACCGAGAAGGCACCCGGTGAGATCAGTTTGTAAAGATTCACCAGAAAATGTAACATCAGATTTTCTCATGTAGCTGAATATAAAACTTTGAGGCTGTTTTGTTTCATAGATGGAAGATCGCTGTGGGAAATGGATGCCAGAGTTATGCCAGAAAAGAGCAGAGGAGTAAGTAAAAACATGAGTCAAAAATGTATTTGCTAAAAATAAAAAAATAGATTGAATGAATCTGCTTTTTTGCAGCACTGACACTGAGTTTGGTTTTTACTTCAGGAATTTTGTACAAGTGTGAACAAGGCTTGTGTTTCTGTCTTTCAGTCTAGCATCGTGGTGGAGGTCCCTCCTTACAATAAGAAGACAAAGGACCCAGTCCAGGTCCAGTTCTACGTCTCTAATGGGAAGAGAAGAAGAAGTCTGACACAGAACTTCACCTTCCTGCCCGCAGTCAGAGGTCACCTTCCTGCCGCTGCTGCTGCAGCAGTCAAACAGGAGAGATGGGAAACAGACTGCATCTCCCACAATCCCCCTGGCTTCTGTCCCTCCTCCTGCCAGATGCCCCCCTGTGATCGTGTCCCAGAACTGGTTTATTATGATTCTCGCGACCTCCCGGTGCATTGTGGTCCATCTTCACAGAATCATCCCGCTGCCTCCTTAATGTTCCCTCACCCCTCCTCCTCTGCACCCTCTCAGACCTCCTCAGTCCTCCATCAGACCTTTATTCCTCCTCAGACCTTCAGGGCCCCCACTCAGACCTCTTCCCTGCCTCCTAAAACCTCCTCAATCCGTCCTCAAGTGTCAACTATACCTCCCCAGACCTTCAGCATTCCCCCGCAGACCTCTTCCTTTTCTCCTAAAACCTCCTCAATCCTTCCTCAAGTTTCAGCTTTACCTCCTCAGACCTTCAGCGTCCCCTCTCAGACCTCGTCTGTCCCTCCTCAAATCCCCACAATGCCTCCTCAGGCCTCTTCGTTGCCCCTTCAGACCTTCACCATCCCTCCACTGAGGGAGCAATCTTCCTCTCCGAGCTCCAGAAGAGTCTACGTGGCCCCTGCAGGTTCCCAGAAGGACACTCTGCTCCCCATCCCAGGAGAACCTCCAGGAATCAAGCAGGAACCAGAAGACCAGCCAAATCTGGGCTCCTTGGGCCTCCAGGAGATCACACTGGATGATGGTAGGATGCTTTAAGTGAAGTCTCTCTAACTATGTTTTAAATTTGATGTAGTACTTTCTCAAATAAAGAAATGTAACCAAACTAACGGGATACAGAGTCCAGACACTAAACATCGCTTCGCTTGAACGTGAAGTAATGTTAGCACTATTCAGACCGCCGTTTCAAGCCACGATATTTACGCCTCTGTGACATTTTGCCTTCAATCTGAATGTCACAAAGACGCCTCTGTAGCATCTTCAGAGGAAGTAACAGAGACGAGACGATATCAGCGGAGCCAACCAGGGAGAGCAGCGCTGTGTGTGTGTTCATGTCTGACTGTGTGTGTATGTGGAGCTCTTGCTGTACTGTGCTTCCGTTAAGCCCAAACGCAATGTGCATTCACAGACTGGGACACCAAATATTACGCCCTCGCAGAATCAATATGAATATTCAAAGACATGCTTAAGGCTGAGTTTAGTTACGGCACTATTGCGTTTTATCCAGCCATCTGAAGATGTTTGGCAAACTTGTACAGATGAACACAAGGAGAGAAACGGCCTTTGGATTCAGATCTGACGTCTCTGATCAAACTCAGCGTGTGTGTTTGTTTGTTTGCTGTGCAGCTGGCTTCCTGAGGTGTGTGTGTGTCCTGTACATTTCGCCCTGTGATGTTGGTTATTTATACGTCAGGCTCCTCTGTTTGTGTGTGAATAGTGTTTCTCTCTGATGTGGGTTAATAATAGCTCGTGTCTGTGTTGCTGCTCTGAATGATGCAGACGGAGGTTAAATTTGTTGCTGCGCCTCAGCTGGCGGGCAGCAGCTGTCGTCAGGCCTCTGACCCCCCCCCCCCCCTCGCCTTTCAGTGTGACTTTGACCTCAGAAATGTCAGCCCATTCACACAGGGCGGCCGCTCATCCTGCAGGTGGATTAAAACACCTGCAGGATGAGCGTGCCTGCTGCAGGTTTAATGATTATTACTGATTGTTTGTAGACTTGAATGTCTAGACTTTTGACCCCTTACTACAGGTTGTGTCCACTTAGACCAATTATTTTTTTTATTTGATTTATAAGCTGACATGCATCTATACATTTTGTTTACTTTGTTCTCCATGATAACAAGTCATTTCAGGTTGTTTTCTTGAAATCTCGGCTTATTTATAGAAAAAGTCTTAACTGACCTCATTAGTGGGGCTAATGTCAGCATGTCACGTCGTTGTCTGAGCTGTCAAAGCGACCAGAATATTGTACTGCTTTTAAGATCGCCTTAAAATGATCCCGTTATCACGAGAGAACGAGCTTTGTTATCCTGAGTTAACAAGAACAGTAAGTCACATTCTGAAGAAAACAACTGCACTCACAAAAGTGACTAATTATCCCAGGAAAACGGGGAAAATAAAATGTAAGGATGCACGTTAGCTCAGAGTTAACGTACTTAAGGACTCAGATAAATAAATCAAATAAAATCCAAGCTGCAACCCCTGGTGTTCAAATATGAAGCCGATGCGGAAGTGCAAAATCCTGCAGTTCCTCGAGTGTCCACTAGAGGCTGGCTGCAGAATCACAGGAAGTCACATACACACCCATTCTAAAAAGCCTGTTTTTACTGCAGAGATTAACATGTTTACAGCCTGGTTCAAAAAACCAAATAGGTCTGATTAGCTCATGTCTCGATCAACAGATGGGTGACGTCACTCAGGCTTCAAACATTCACATTTACAGTCTGTGATAAAATCACTAATTGGTCTTACTGGATCTGTGTTAAGGGATCACAGAAGGGTTTGAAGCCTGATCTTTTTAACAAACAAATAGATGATATTTAAATAAAGTCTTGAGTAGAGCCCCTCTGATGAGGGTACTCAAGACATACATATCTAAGAGGGTAAAATTTCACTTTAATAATACTTGTACACACTCTAAACCAGTTGTGGGTCAGACCAGCTGAGATGCTGAGCTTCATGTCCAGCAGACAGTGATCAGAGGGATGTAAACTCTGGAGTCAGAGCGCCCTCTGTTGTATGAACATAGTGATGACACCATTCATATGTCCAGACAATTATTGAAGGCTTTTAAAGAAACTTTAGTGGTCACTCTTTGAACTGGTCTCACAGCTGCTGATGACATTTTAAACCCCAAGACAGATTTAAAAATACTTGAGAGGAATCCCGCTCATGTCTCGGAGTCCAGTTTTTTGGACCGAGAAAGGGAAGAGGAACCAGTTTGTTTGTTTATTTGGATCCACACACGTGCAGATGAACTTGTGTTTACAGGCAGGGCATCATGTTTCTCAGCAGAGCTATATTTAGACTGAGTGGCGTGACGATGAAGCCTTTCACTGCCGTTGGAATAGACTCAGCAGAGCAGCTTTACTGCTGATGCTTAAAAGAAAAATAATAACACAATTTGTCACCTCCACCGAGAACGCCATGAACTGAAGTACTGGTTTATGATGCTTAATGAGGCCCTTACTTCCTCACACAAACCGTCTGAGGGGTCATTTGAGGCAGTGTGCATCATCACAAGTTGGAAGAAGTAAAGGGAAGTTTTTCATATAATGTTGAAGTTAAGTTTGTGTTCAGCATCGCACTCCTGTGGCGGTTAAGGGAGCTGCAAACATAACCTGATTTTCTCTGTATTTATTTGTTTACTTTATATTCTACTTGGTCAAAATGGAAATGTTTAAAAATATGTTTTTCCTGCTGCAGTGAACGAGATAATCGACAGAGACATCGGCAGTCTGACCAGCGGTGTGCAGCCCGACCAGTTTGACCAGTACGACTGGGAGCACAAGTCCAGCGACGCGGCCTTACCGTTCTGTGGAGGTCCTCAGTGATCCCACTGCTCCCCACAGGAAGTGACCGTGACTCTTCTTCTGCCGTTTGATGTCTGGACTAACACAAACCAGCAGTCACGTTTGCACAAAGTGCATCAAACGGATCCTTAAGTGCCTGAGAACCAATCAGCAGCCTCCGACGAGTGAAGACAGCTCGTCTCATCAGGGTTTCATAAGACTGTTTCCTCACCTGTCTCAGGAATGTTTTCAAAGACTGAACCAAAGAATTCTAAACGTCTCATGGCTGAAGTTGGAGGAACTGAAAAACAAATCAAAAGACTTTAAAGGTCACATATTCTCCTCCTCTTCAACCAGTGTAAATAAGTCTCAGAGCTCCTCAAAACATGTGTGTGAAGTTTCTTGTTCTAAATCCACTCTGATCCTGTATTTGATCATGCCTATAAACCCCTCTATTTCAGCTCTGCTCAGAACAGGCTGTTTCTGTGTCTGTACCTTTAAATGTAAATGAGCTGTGTCTGACCACGCCCCTCTCTGGAAGGGCTTGGGTGTCTCGGGCTTTCTCGCTCCATGTCCTATTGTTTATGGTGAGAAGGCAGACTCAGAGGGCAGAACAAACACCTAGCTGTGGGAGTGTCACCCACCTGGGGGAGGGGTTACTGCCCTTTGTGATGTCATGAAGGGAAAATCTCCAAACATCCTGTTTGAGCACACATTTTGTGAAAAGTGGAGCAGGCAAAAGACGGATAGGATGGACTTTTCTCATCGTTGGGGGGTTTGTAGACGGAATAGGGACACGTTAGTGTTAAAGGAACATGGAGAAGTGGATTTTTATATGTGACCTTTAATGTCACACAAACACAATCAGTCCCGTCATCGCAGAGGCTAAAGCCACACAAAACTTTTAAAAATAATAATTATATTATTTATTGGCCGATTAATTAAGAAATGTATTTTTGATACTGTGGATCTGGTCCAGAAAAAACCTAAAGTTGTTCAGCTTCATTTTTAAAGTTTGTTTTTTTCTCGTTTGTTTACATTTCTGTCTCTGATTAATGTTCATGCTGTTCGACCTGAACCTTGTGGTGTGATGCGTCAGACACTGATCTCTAGACATGTATCAAAGGTTGAAGTAAAAAGACGAGAAAACAGAAGACGCTCTGTGTTTTTTATAAATGGATTTAAGAATGATGAGTGTGAGTTGTAAAATACTTTATTCGTGCAAACAGTCGGCAGAAATTATGCATCACGTCTGGAGTAAAGACGTCAGCACAAATTTTAAACTATCCTCCATTTCGAGTCATCCAACCACCTTCAGTCCTCAGAGCTGTGACACCTTTCATAAGCTAAGAGTTTGAGGAGGATCAGGCCATATGTAAAGATTTATTTGAGGTCTTTTCTTGGTTGAGTGTTGCAATGTCTTGATAAAAAAAAAAAAATGTAAACATTCAATTAAATATGTCAGCCTGTGCAGCAGGCAATGCAGGTTAACATAATAGACTTCCATCAAGAGAAAGGCAGTGATACAAACAGAAGACAACTCCCACCTGAACCATCAGCTACACCTGTTCCATGATGACCTCATCTCGATCCAAAGAAATGGGGAAATTACCATCCATGATGATACACAGGCCTTGTTAAAAGGAAGAATTTAAAACATGATCCACATAAATATATCAGAAATCCAGTCTATCCTGTGTAAATGTGTCTCTGAGTCATGACTGTCTACAATGAGTGAGAAGCTCGAGTCCCACTGGCTGTGTTGTTGTCAGAGCCGTGTTTACATGGACAGATGGCCGGCTCCTCCCCTTGTGTATAAAAGCTGTTTTAGTCAAGGACTAGAGAGAAGAAGAAGAGCATACTCACTGATTATTTGGATGTTACTAAGAGTTTTTAGATCACGTTGATTCTGTGTTAATTTACATGCCATGTGAAGCTAAGAGCTAACTAAAGAGTGCTAACATTAGCATGCTAACACAACAATGTAGGACACAGGTGATTGCAGCTCGAGGAAAGGACAATTTTGTCCGCCGCCTGCGCTAAATTCCATCATGCGAACACAAGTGGAAGGGGGTTGGAGGTGTGTTTCTGGAGGAGAGAGGAGGCTTCAGTATGGAGGAGGTGTGGTCTAACAGAAGTTTGTTTTGGTTTCATGCTGGAGCTCAAGGGCGACATCTACTGGATCAAAAAGTCTCACATTCTTCCTTTAAAATAAACTATTTCCACGCAAACTGCAAGAAAAGACTTTCATCACTGAACGACTGATCATTTCTTTGAATCATCAGCGTCCACATCAGCATCTTAAACATGTTTTTAATCCGATGGGCAGATCCCAGTTCAGATCTAAGAACCTGTTGAGGTAAAGCGTTGCCCCCTCAATGCTCTCTGGAGTATAAATACGGTTGAGTTATTTAAAGAGCTGCTGGTCGGGGTCCGTCTGAACGAAGCAGATCTCCTCCATAGCTGATTTCGATCCAGTCGTCCAGCAGCTGTTTGTGCAGGTGTAAACCAGCACCGTCCCAAACTCCAGCTCCGCCTCCACGCCGCTGTCCCCCCTCTGCAGCAGACTGACCAGAGCCGGCATCAGCTGTAGCTCAAACGTCCGTGATCCTCCACAGCAGCCGCACGCCGACACCACCTGCGCCATGTTGGACGGCGGCTCGGAGATGAAGAGCGGTTTGCCTCCTCGACAGTAACGCATTATCTGCTGCGGACACAGAGAGATCTTCTTCATGAACCTGGAGAAGACAGCGTCTCCGTGTCGGGCTTTCGTCTTCTCATACTTCTCCTCGCCGCCTTTGCCCTCGCCGCCGTCCAGCTCTCCCACCGCCACCCCTTCTCTCCTCTCGTACTCTCTGAGCAGCCGCTGAGCATGCCGTAGGTCGTCCTCCTCTCCGAACAGATCGGACTCCTCCACCACACTGATGAAGAACGAGCGGAGGACGGGAACATCCTCCTGACGCTCTCCCAAACTGAGGTCCTGAAGCTGGGAGCTGACGTCAGTCTCACAGGCAGCTGTGAAGAAATGAATAAATCCAAATAACCTTAAAAAAGCTGCTCTAACAGAAAAAACATGACCGTTTCAGTTAAAACGTAGAAGAAGAATATGTTCAGGGGTTTGTTACAGTGAACTGCAGGGTGGTTTCTTTGGAATTAAGAGGTTCTTAAAGAAAATATTTTTTGACCTCTTTCTCTAAATTAGAGGGGGACAGCATTTTAAAATGTAAGCCTTCTTTTTTTTTAGGTAAAGACTGTTTTTCCAAATTGCTTCAGTCAGTAACCTAATGATCATTTGGATCCCTAAGTATGTAAATATTTGGCCCAGGTTTGGTCTGGTTGGACCCTAAACTTTACCTTCTTCGTTGAGTTATTGCTATTATACTTATTGCTATATACAAATATTTACCCTGTGCCTCAGGAGCTGCTGCTGCCTCCTTGTGGATCTCCTTTTTCATACCTCCTCCCCAGTCTTCTTCATCCTCCATCCCCCAGTCATCAGCGGTGTCACACCAGTCAGTGGCCGCCAGAGGAGCCTCCTGAGCCGGGTCGGGCCGGCTGGCTGTGCCCGCTGACTCCGCCTCCAGACACTGAGAGCGGAGGACCCTCCAACTGTCTGACCTGCCGCTGCACTCCACACCTGGGCACGCAAACAGGTGGAGGTTTCTGTGGTAGGGGGAGGCCTCCAGGGGGCAGTACACCTGCACCACATGAGCCAACGGGGCTCCGCAGCGACCACAGCGGGTAGACTGTAGAGAGATGCCCGGTAACCAGTCCGGCGGACCCCCGACCTTGTTGGTCAGGTATGAGGACTGGTATCTTTTAGAGTCCAGCTGTCCATCACACACACCGATCAAAGTAACCTCCTCAGGGCGTGAAGCCATCTCTCACATGTTGACAACGCCGAGAGGAAGTGCACGTTATCGTCAGTGGTCCGTCATCAAAACATTTCCGCAACCTGGAATGGGAATAAAAGTCATAAAACCAGACCTAGAGTAATATTAATGTGATTAAAGAAATAAAACATCTAGTTCTATAAAATTCTACAGAGATAAAGACGTCACACAATGTTTAACTTACATGTAAAAAATGTACACTGCTTGAAAAAGGTTCCTACCGGAAGTCCTCACTTTAGTCGCATTTTTTCCCAAAACTTTTTCTTGAGAAAGTTTTTTTCGTTCTTTAGTCAATTAATAAATGGGTGTTTAAACTGTTGTATATTTGATAAATTACTTCAAGCAGAATATTTAGATGATAAAATAGAAATATAGCAAGCAAACTGACCAGTAAAAACGATACAAAAATATAAAAAAACTATAAATTAAAAAGAATAAAATATATATGTGTATGTATATTATTTTTTAAAGACATCTTTTAAGAAAAGCTTAATTTTTATTTCAAATAGCCATCGACAAATAAAGTTTATTTAAAAAAAACAACGCCAAAACAAATTAACCGGAAGTTGCGTTGCTCTCCAAACATGATGATGCTGCTGATGTCTCTGACAGCTAAGCGGAGCTACAAGACTTATATCTGTTCTTTATATCGTGTGTTAGGTTTTTCTAAATGATTGAAATAATGGCACAAAAAGTGAACTATTTATTTAATTTAAAACGTAACATTTTGTCTTTTTGTGACTGAAATGAGCCGATACGAGAGACGAGAGTTAACGTCAGTGTTGAACGTCCACAGCTGATTTGATAATATAAAACAAGATAGGGATGATTTGGAAAGATACTGTAACACAAAGTCATTATTTATTTTACTATTTTTTATAAATTGGATTATAATAGCTCCAAAAGAGGCCAACCTAAGCCGAGCATATGAGGTCTAATCAGTGTAAACAAAGCGTTGTTGTTGTTGTTGTTACGTAACAGTATAAACCACCGTGATCATCAGTGTTAACACGGGCAGCTCTTCACCACCACCATCATGCCTTTTGTGTTTCTGGAGCGGTTCCCCTGGCCCAGTTTACAGACGTACACTGCGCTCAGTGCTGCCCTGCTGGTCGGGACCGTCCTGACCGTCTGCTCCTCTTCCGCCTCCAGCAGCCCGGAGGAGAGCCTCAGCGACCCGGCCCACAGCAGCTCCAGGATCGGCCGCTACATCCGGGACGGCGGGTATGGAGATGTGGCTGCAGATGTCCTGCTGCACCTGCTCACTGACAGTGTCTTTGTTTGGGTGAGTTCAGACTAAGAGTGGTGATAAAAAATGAATAGATAGATCAGCCTTTCCTGAGTCTGATGGTGTGGGCACAAACCAAGACATGGCTCTCATCAGTCCTGAAGGTAGCAATCTGTACTTCTGGATATCTGTAGTTTTGTATAGTATTGCAAATGTTTTATATAATAAAAAATTAACACACATTTATAAACAGTTTAGAAACAGTACAGATATCAGTGATAGGCAGATACGGTATGAACAGCATGGGGCCTAACACAGAGCCTTGAGGAGTCCCACAAGAAACCTTAAATAATTCAGGTTTTACAGTGTTCAGTTGTAAATCTTGTTCCGTATTACATAAACGGCACTGTGAGATTAATTTTAACAGTGTGTGTGTGTGTGTGTGTGTGTGTGTGTGTGTGTGTGTGTGTGTGTGTGTGTGTGTGTGTGTGTGTGTGTGTGTGTGTGTGTGTGTGTGTGTGTGTGTGTGTGTGTGTGTGTGTGTGTGTGTGTTGTGCCTGTGTGTGCAGGTAATGGTGAACACGGCCTGCTGTGTCCTGCTGCTGTTCGCCAAACTCATCCAGTGTGTGGTGTTCGGACCGCTCCGTGTCAGCGAGAAACAGGTCTGTGATTGTCTTTGTCTGAGTATGTCAGCTTCTCACCCGGATCAAAACTTTAAATTCTAGATAAAGAGTCACTGAGTACAATTCAAACACCGGAGAACAAACGTGTAAATATGGAACTAATATTCAGAGATAGGTTTAAATCCAAATGAAAACTCCTGGAATGATTATTTTCCTTTTCTGTCCCTCTGCAGCATTTGAAAGACAAGTTCTGGAACTTCGTCTTCTACAAGTTCATCTTTGTATTCGGCGTCCTGAACGTCCAGACGGTGGACGAGGTGGTGATATGGTGGCTCTGGTTCGCCGCCCTGGTCTTCCTCCATCTCCTGGTCCAGCTCTGCAAAGACCGCTTTGAATATGTAACGTTTGTTAAAATCATACAAGAGTATCACATGATCACAGCGTTTATATTATATCAGGATTTTTATGTGAAGCTAATATTTTTTAAAGTACAAGTCTGAGGGGGATGCGCGGGAACCATGTATGTCATTCCCCTCTCTCTCTCCCTGATTTCTGACTCTATCCACTGTCCTATCTCTAGATTAAAGGCACAAAAAGCCAAAAAAAAACCCAACAAAAAACAAGATTAATCACGATTATAATAAAAGGACAAGTCTGAGAAGTTTATACCAAGTTGAACTTTCAAAGTGTCTGACAACATTCCTTAAAGGAACCCCCTAGTTTTGTCACAGATTTTGTGTGTGTTTTCCTGCAGCTGTCCTTCTCCCCGACGACTCCCCCGTCCAGCCACGCGCGTGTCATTCTGCTCCTGGTGGTGCTGCTGTTGTGCTGCGGGGGTTTGGCGACCCTCTGCAGCCGCCTGGCTCGCAGTCAAGGCCGACACGCCGCCGCTTTCATGGCTGCCGAGGTGGGACACTCTCTCTCAGTACGGCTGGTTAAAAAAATCGATTCATCAATGCATTGCAATTATTATTTTCCCAATTCAGGGAAATCCTGAGGTCGATTTTTTTACGTTGTAATGACACCCCTCTCCACTAGGGGGCACTGTGGGTGCTGTGAATTCAAGTTAGGCATCATTTTACACTTCAGATCAGAGTGTACTTCACGTTTTAGACTTTGTTTATTAAAGAATAATGCAATGATAAAATACATTTTTGTTTTAAACTAATACAAACACATAATTATTTAACAAACATAAGAAGGTACTGTGAGTAGTTATCTCAGTATTTCTCTCACCTATGTGTAATATTGAATCGATATCAAAGCATAATGATCAATATCGAATCGATATCGAATCGAATGGTGACCCAAAGAATCAAAAACAAATGGAATTGTGAGGTTGTGGACAATACCCAGCTGTATCTCTCAGACACATGCTCTGAAAGTCTTCACACCTGTTGATGCGTTCTGTGTTTCAGTGTATGCTGGTGACCGTCAGGACCACACATGTCATGTTTCGGTGAGTGACATAAACATTCCTCTCTCGTCTCGTTTGTTGCGCCGAGAGAAGATTTTAGTGTAAATCTGTTTGACGTCTTTCACTGCAGGTACTCGATCCACCTGTGGGACGTGAACCAGGTGGGCAGCTGGGACAATAAGTCCTCGTACACTTACTACACCGACCTGCTGATGGAGCTGCTGTTTTTAGGCCTCGACCTGCTGCATCACATCCACATGCTGGTCAGTCTAAAGGAGACATAATTCAGTCTCACATTTAACAGTCTTATCATTATTTATCTTTTCTCTAAGTGGCTGAAGGTGAGTTAAATCATCGTTGAATCTGGTCAGGTTTATTTTACACTGAGTGTGTTTACGTGGACTTGAGGATCCCAGTTTGAATTTTCCTCGTCTCGTCTGTCTCAGCTCTTCAGTAACATCTGGCTCTCCATGGCGAGTCTGGTGATCTTCATGCAGCTCCGTTTCATCCTCCTGGAGGTTCAGAAGAGAATCCGCCGCCACCAAAACTACCTGCGAGTCCTCCGCAACATGGAGACCCGGTCAGTGTCACAGAGCCGTTTCTCAGTCTATTTCTTAGACATGCTGTGTTGAAGTTGGAGCTGATTGAACCTGATGTTTTATCGTCTTTCAGGTTCTCTGTGGCGTCCGCGGAGGAACTGGCAGCCAATAACGATGACTGTGCGATCTGCTGGGATGTGATGAGCTCAGCCCGGAGGTTGCCCTGTGGTCACCTTTTCCACAGGTCAGTGTGTGTGTGTGATTATGTGACTGTGATGAAGAACTCAATCGTTTAAGATGTTTGAGTCACTGAGTGTTTCTGTGTCCTCAGCTCGTGTCTGCGCTCCTGGCTGGAACAGGACACGTCTTGTCCAACGTGTCGGATGTCTCTGAACATCGGGGAAGGACGTGAAGGTCACACAGAGCGGGAGAACAGGGAGGCCGCCGCTGAAAACATGGCCGCCGGCCCAGGGGTCGAAGCTCAGCTGCACCTCAACCAGCTCAACCACTTCTTCCACTTTGATGGTGAGACATAGAACCAGTGACATAGAGAGACTCCACAACATTTATCTGATATATGGAGTCCCTTTAGAGCAGTGGTTCTCAAACTATGGTACGCGTACCAACGGTGGTACGAGGGCTCCCTGTGGTGGTACGCAAAGAAATCTCCACAATATAAAAAACAAACCCGTTCAACATAAAACGTCAATATTTTTTGTCGTACTCTTATCTGTCTTGTATCTATTGGGTTGTATTTATATCAGATGTGTTTTCCCTTCTAAATTAATCTAGTTTTTGCAACAAACAACTTTAATCTGCTCAATTTATGCTCGCACGCACAGACATAAACAACAACAGGAGTACGCCTCGTGTTTTGAAAAGTTCCACTTGATATTCTGTTATAATTCAGTACTGAAAGAACAGCAAGCAGCTGTATACATTAACATATATTTTGTTATTTATTGCAGTTCAGTCAGCACACAATCCGCAGCAAGCAGCTAATTATATTCCCGTTTTCTGGAGCTGCTGGAATGCACAAATTTCCCCCACGGGGGATCAATAAAGTTTATCTTTATCTTTTACATCAACATTTTAAAAACGGAGCCAGGAGAAGCTTCAGTTTTGATGCATGTACGGACAGCAGACCTTATCGCTCCCCCTCCCTCTTTCGCTCCCTCTCTCTTGCTCTGAAGCTGATGTGATTCTGCTCTCTTTTGATGTCTTAACACTCCGCAGGAGTCGAGAGGGATTTTTTTTTTAAAAGGCAGTTTTGCTATGTTGAATGCAGAGAGAATAAAGCGGCTCTGTTTGCACAGAGCCTGCGGAGCGCGTACCTGCACTCTCACGCGTTCTCTCTCTCTCCCCCGCTCCCTCCCTCTCTCTCAGGCACGCAGCAATTTTATGAATAAATGAAAAATTTAATGAGAACAGGTTGGAAATATACATGGGCCCAGGTATCGTATTGGAGACTAAATATTTCCAAACAGGTTGTTGGTATAAAGTTGTCATTTTTATTGTTCTGCACTTTTGTGTGTGCCAGTTCTAGCGCTAGCCCTTAGTAGGCCTACAGCGTGGCTGCCAGCAGTCAATAATAAATAATATTCTTTTTATGAATATATTTGCCTCCTGCATTAAATGTGTGTAGAAATAGGCCTACAGTGTATTTTAACATCTACCATAATGGTGGTACTTGGAGAGCCAAATATTTTCGGAGGCGGTACACAGTCTAAAAAGTTTAAGAAACACTGTTTTAGAGGGATAGAGTCTGGTACAAAATGTTTCCTGTAAAACAAACAGTCAATACAAAAACAGCTGAAGCATGGAGGGCGAGTAATGCATCAACAGAAATCTAACTAGTGATAAACGTTGAGGTTAAAAATCTAAAATAAAAACTCAAATTGGAAGACTTTCTGCTTTTCCTCTCTGACTTTAATAAGGTGGCTCATCATGGATTTGGGTTTCCACGGGCGATGACTGACTCAGCTGACCTGATCTCCTCGAGCAGATTGTTCCACACAGAAAACACTCATGCACAAACAGATCAATGCTAGACGTTTCAGGGAAACTTCAAACTCTTCATCTGAACGATGTTTGAGATATCTACGGTTTAAATTAATAAATGAATCTCTTTTTACGTCTCTTGAGGGCTGAGTTTTTAAAGATCTCAGTTCGCTGCTGTGATTTACTTCCAGACTTTTTTAATGTGTGATACTTTCTTTACTTCCTGTTTCCACTCTCTGACCTCGTTATGTGTTCCCAGGTTCTCGTATTGCCAGCTGGTTGCCCAGTTTCTCAGTGGAAGTCATGACAGCCACTAACTTTTTGGGCCTCGCACCACCCGACGTGTCTCAGATCAACCCGATGGTGAGTGAACAGGACGGGGCGATGTTTTGAATCTTAAACCGGCCCTCGTGTTCTTACAGAGAAAATGTGTGTGTGTATGTTTCAGGCTCAGCAGATCCACGAGATGTTCCCTCAGGTTCCCCTCCCGCTCATCCTGCAGGACCTGGAGATCACCCGCTCCGTCGAGGTCACCACAGACAACATCCTGGAGGGGCGGATCCAGACCGCCGGCCCACCACTGGTCAGTCTCAGAGAATGCAAAGAGGGGAACTGAACAAAATGTTTCTGTAGCGCTGAGAGTTCTCCGGCAACGCTTGTCCTGCTTGTTTAAGGATGAAAAAAGTGACCATTTGTCCATTTTTGAGCAGAGCTTGAATCAGGTGATGTTTTAAAATACATTTCCTCTCTCGTCAGGTGTTCGAGCGCCCACTCATACAGGTCACCCCTCCACCTGAGGACGAGGGCGGAGCCAGCAGTGAGTCAGAGCAGGAAGAGGATGACGAGTGGGAGGACGAGTGGGAGGATGAGGAGGAAGACGAAGACGAGGAGGGAGATGAGGTGGAGGAAAAGAACGAGATGGAGGAGAAGCTGGAGGACGACGTGGAGGAGGAGGAGGTTCAGTTTTGTACGTCCACGGAGCGACGGCAGAAGCTGCTGCTGCAGAGGAAGGAGGAGCTGCTGCAGCGAGCGCGCAGGTAATGAAAACATCACAACCTACCCTGTTTCTGTGTCCTTCTTTTCCATCACTTCCACTACAGAGAGACACTGAGGAGGCTTATCTACGGTGCACCTAAAGGGACAAAATAGCTTTAAGATTAATCACGATTAAAATACATTTAAGTTTTAATTTCAGACCTGAAGTTTACGGTGATGTAAACTGCAGTTCCTCAAGCTGCCACTAGAGGCTGTTTCCAAAAGTGTGTAAATCCAAAGCAGCAAACTACGGTGTTGAAAAATCCTGGAGTTCTCTGAGTGTCCACTAGAGTCTGGCTGCAGAAGCACAGGAAGTCACATACACACCCATTCTAAAAAGCCTGTTTTTACAGCAGAGATTAACATGTTTACAGCCTGGTTCAAAAAACCAAATAGGTCTGATTAGCTCATGTCTCGATCGACACACACTGTACGGGGGATGAATGTTTTGATGACTCATCAGTTTTGATTTGATGAAGGATAAGAGTTATTCACAATAAGGCGTGTAGCTGACCTGATTGACAGGTGGGGAGCGGTGTAACGGTTTGTCAGGAGATTTAAAACCCGCCTCAGCTCCAGCTCTCAGCCTGTCATTAGGTTGACTGAAAGTTAGACTGAGACAGCATTTCCAGCATGGAGACCGCCATCGATGGGACTCCAGCGCCCCCTGCAGGAACAGATGGGTGACATCACTCAGGCTTCAAACATTCACATTTAGAATCAGAAATCCCGACTCTACCTGATGAGCTGCAGAGTTTCACACAGCTGTGATTATTCTGCTGCAGAAGAAGAACGGAGCTTCTCCGCTGCGTCTGCATCATTTAAGGAATAAAATATCTCTCCACTCAGTATCAAAGATTCTTTTTCAATCTTCTCTGGGCTGCGTTCAAAAGTCGTTCCTGCTGTTTTTTTTAACGTGTTCTAACTGCGTCTCTCGTCCTGAGCTCACAGCTGCACACGCTCATTAGCTCTGACATTAACGGTGCTCAGAGCCGAGGCACCATTAGAGAAACCACGGCAGAGTTTTTAAGTGAAACGCCAGAGATTCTGCACGTTTAAAGCCCATTTACTCCAAACCACCTGCACTTAACATCACTGCTGAGTGTCTATGAATCACAGCAGCTGTAGATTTACCTCCTCACTCTGTCGATCACCTCGCAGAGATGTGACCGTGTGCAGGTAGATAACCCATCAGAGCGAGCGTGCTGCTCTGTCACAGTTTCCTCACATTAACAGAAGTTTTTACTTCAGTCTGACAGCTTTTTAAATCCATTTCTATAGATCTGCGTTCCTGACTAGACATTTTTATTTTGTCTTCTCCTTTATGGCTCCTTTCCTCACTGTTGTGTTCTCTTACGGTTTTATTTTGATGGTTTCTTCTTGTTCTAAACGTTCTCTAGAAAGTACCTGGATCTATTGTCACAATCATGACACCGTGGTTACAGAGTAATAGAGCTTTTTTGGGCCATCCATCATTGGACCGGGCTGCACGGCCCTGCAGTGGTTAGCGAGGAGGTTCCTTTATTTGATCATGTTTATAAAAGCCTGAAGTTAAATTAGTGTTTTTGTCAGTGGAGTCTGGCTTGTTTGTGGAGAGTGATGCAACATCTGATTCTGGGTTTCTCTGTAAAATGTAAAGCGCTCTCTCTCTCTGCAGGGATCCTTTCTGTGATGCTGTCAGACACGTAAAAAAACAATGGGAGCCTGTCAGGGACAAAAATAATGACTTTGAGTGGACAAAACGTTTCCTTACTTCTGGCTGAATCATTGTAGTCTGCAGTTATTAGTCATTTTTTTCAAACCCAGAATTATTGGATGATATTTTAATATTTATGTGAATTTCCAATAAAAAGCCTTTCACTGACTTTTTAATTTAAAATGTCTGCAGGAAGTAACAACAGAGATCTGGGACAAAACGACAAAGTAGAACAGACATCATTTAGCAGCTCTGATGTCTATTGAATTTATTCTATTGTGCACTTTACTAAATTAGCGCTGCATGGTGGTTAGCGCGCAGAGGCTCTTGGTTCAAATCCCCGTCTGACATGAGCCTCTCTGTGTGGAGTCTGCATGTTCTCTCCGTTCATGTGTGGGTTCTCTCCGGGTACTCCGGCTTCCTCCCACAGTCCAAAGACATGCTCGTTAGGTTAACTGCTGACTCTAAATTGTCCGTAGGTGTGAATGTGAGTGTGGCTGGTTGTCTGTCTCTGTGATTGGCTGGTGAACAGTCCAGGGTGTAACCCAGCCTCTCGCCCAATGACAGCTGGAATCAGCTCCAGCCCCCTGTGACCCTGAAATGGGAACGGGACAAGCGGTATGGATAATGGGTTGATGGACTTTACATTATTTACTCCTTTCCGTCTTCTCCTCTGATGTTCCCTGTCCTCTCTGCAGAGACTTTCTGAGCAGGAGCACGAGGTCGACCACGGGGAACATGGACGCCTCAGACAGGGACGCTTCCACCTCCGACCCTCTCACCCTGAGACGAGAAACACTAGCGGCCGCAGCAGAACGGCGCCTGCAGAGGCAGCCTGACTCCGCCCACTGAGCAGGACAGGAAACTGGCCGAGCTTTTTACTGACTACGTTACAAACTACTGGTCTGATTCGTCTTCTGCCGATGACAGTGTTAGAAAAAACAAACGCTTTTATTACCTGATGATTGAAAAACATCACTTTTCACAGGTGAGGCTGCTTCCAGGTGCTAAACGGATCCCTCAAGACGAGGAGCTTCTGATCCACATGCTGCAGTTTGTCCGTAAGAATTAGAAAAGAGATATTTTTTATAGCGTATCGTTGAAGATTTGAAAATAGATATTTAGGAAGAATGAGCTCAGACTACCTGTTGAACGCTGTGTTCAGGTAACAATGGGGTTGGAAATGTAGCAGCCTGATGCAGGTTAACCACACTCCTTTTTTAAGCCCCTCCCACACGTGGACTTTCTCTGCTCGAACAGTCCGTCTTTTATTAGTCAGATTTGTTTGTTTTATGTTTCTCTCTCTTAACGTCTGCTCGCTCGTCCGCCCTGCTCCTGTTTACACATTTCTATCCAAAGTTTAACAATTTAAAAGAGAAAAGACTGAAACGAGTTTTGTAAATATAAATCATAATGAAGACGACAGTTTGACGGCTGCAGCTGGAACCAATAAATAAATAAATAAATTGTCGTGATGTTTTGTTTTTAATCAGTCTTTTTCTTCTTCCTGGTGAATGTTTTTATAAAAATGAGACAAACACATGTAACTTGCGCTCTCCATGTACAGAGGCTGTAGTCCTCATTGTAGCGGCCGTGGGTTCAAATCCGACCTCGGCCCTTTGCTGTATGTCACCCCCCCCTCCATCAAACACTTCTTTGTATGGATGGATGTGTTGAGGGTCATTGAAAGCGGCGCAGCACACAGAAAATATATCAAATATCTTTCTTTTCAAAGTTAGTTTCAGTAAAATGTTTCACCTTTCATTTTTTTTAGCAGGATATGACCGGCTAAAGTTACCGTTACCGGGTTTTTATCTACCATGAGGCTGCCTTCATTTGGGACGTGTCAAAATGAGACGGCCTTAAATTATTCTCAAACCAAACTCATGAACAGCAAAGATGGGAAAGGCTATCACACTGTGCACATAGTCAGGATATCAATAAACAAATCAGGTTAAATATCCCTCATTTGAGTTTGAATTAGAAAGAGGCGTTTTCCTTCTAATCACAGTAATGACGTGGACAAATAGCCAATCGGTGGTGGTCTTCACCGGTCACGAGTTAAAATCCGGATTCTGCCCTGTCTGAGACAGAGACAAGACCGAGTGAAAATGCTTTGATTCCAAGACAAGACCTTCAAAAAGTGGTCGTGAGCCTGGTCTTGAGAGTCCAGTTCAGTTGGTCAAAAATTGGGATGGTCTTCTATTTGAAATGTTAATTCAATTCAATGGTAATTCAAACCGCTCTGAGAAAACCGGAGACTACAGAGTGCATCTTTGTTGAACATTAAGGATCAAATATCAGCGAGTTTGGAGAGCACAGATCACACACTGATGAGTCAAAGTACACAAGTTTAAATGTAAAGATAGTCTCAGTCTTTCAGAACATAGGGTTCTGTTTCCTGTCCTGCTGCCAGCCTCACGACCTCTCCGAGTGCATCAGAGTCTAATCACTCGAGACGCTGCAAACTGTTCAATAAATCATTGTTCAGTCTTAATGAAGTCTCTCTTGATTGAGACACTTTACTGATATGTAAAATAAAGACACGTAACCATTAAAGGAGAGCGATTTGAGGACACATTAAAAGTTTTAAAGATCTCTGTTCTCCACAAGAACAAGAATAAATGTTTCATCTGTGGCCATCAGCCTCTTCTGTAATGAAACCCGTTCTGGACAAATCATAAATTCTTTATATGCATGAATCCCAAGTCGTTAAAATCTTCACTGACGCTCTTCAGGCTCCTGCAGGGTGAACGCTTGCTCTCCTCCACACTTCCTGTTAGCAGCTGCAGCACTGAAACCCCGTTACAGAAAACACAACAGAGGTTTAAAAACACATCCCGCTCTGTCAGATTGATGAGATTGATGTCAGACTGATACAGGGCGAGAACGGGATGTTTACGTTTCCTGTGTCGCCTCAGAATCCTCCAGGAGGAGCTGGAGAAGTTTGCTGGGGAGAGAGAAGTCTGGGTTGACTTCCTGCGCTAGCTGCCACCGAGACCCGACCTCGGATTTGAGTGGCAGTCCTCCTGAGAATCTAAAGAGACTCTCAGGAGGGCGTCTGTGAAAACAACTAATGATAGTTCAAAAAGTCTTTATCTAATTCCAGTGTTAGAAAGTCTGCTGAAGGGATCTGTGTCATGAGGCGTGAGACTGCGCCTGCTCAGGGATTTAAAAAAGTTACATGTGTGTGTCGGTGCTGCCTGGAGAAACTTTTGAAAAATTGCAGAAGGAGAAACACATTTCACTGAGAAAAAGAGTGTTTCACAGAGCAGATATAGACAGTAGTGTTGAAGTACTCGAAGTCAGTCTCACTTTTTGAAGGTCTCGGTCTCGTCTCAGAATCGAAAGCATTTTTACTCGGTCTTGACTTGGTCTTGGTCTTGTCTCGGTCTCCCCCTCCTTGGTCTTGTTCTTGTCTTGGTCTCGTCCTGCCTTGGTCTTGGTCTTGCCTCAGTCTCCCCCAGCCTTGGTCTTGTTCTTGTCTTGGTCTCGTCTTGCCTTGGTCTTGGTCTTGGTCTTGGTTTTGGTCTTGGTCTTGGTCTTGGTCTTGTTCTTGTCTTGGTCTCGTCTTGCCTTGGTCTTGGTCTTGGTCTTGGTTTTGGTCTTGGTCTTGGTCTTGGTCTTGTCTCAGTCTCCCCCAGCCTTGGTCTTGTTCTTGTCTTGGTCTCATCTTGTCTTGGTCTTGGTCTTGGTCTTGGTCTTGGTCTTGGTCTTGGTCTTGGTCTTGGTCTTGGTCTTGTCTCAGTCTCCCCCAGCCTTGGTCTTGTTCTTGTCTCGGTCTCGTCCTGCCTTGGTCTGGGTCTTGTCTCAGTCTCACCATGCCTTGGTCTTGGTCTTGGTCTTGGTGTTGTCTCGGTCTCTGCCCGCCTTGGTCTTGTCTCTGTCTCTCCCTGCCTTGGTCTTGGTCTTGCCTCGGTCTCGCCCAGCCTTGGTCTGGATCTTGACTCGGTCTCGCCCTGCCTTGGTCTTGGTCTTGTCTCGGAGCATTCTGGTCTCGGGTATGTCCTGGTCTAAGTTAGTGTGGTCTTGACACTAATAAACAGAGACAAAAGGCAATTACCTGGCCAGGTGTGATCAATCAACCTTCATTGGATAACAAACAAAGTACTTTGAAGACCAAGGCATCAATAAAAACAACTTTTGTAACACTTATACAAACCTTCCCTTTTTATGTATTATATTAAAACTGTTTTAAATCAATAATAAAAACATGTATCATCATAATCCAGATACCTTTGTGACTCTTTGATTTAGTTTCTCTTTCTTTCTTTTCTCATTATGCAGTTTGTCCTCCAGCCAGCAGGGGGCAGTCACTGCTCACTGTTCGTCTGCAGCTCGTCATGTTCTCTGCTCAAACAAGATCATATTTATGTGAATACAGAGATGAGTGACTTTCTCTCTGCTCTCAGATGAAAATCTCTGCAGGGAACTCCACATCTTCATTTCTGATTATTATTATAATTATTATCATAGACGCTTTAGGGGAGAAATCTTTATTCTGCTCATGAGAGGCTCGGACACAATCTGACTTACAGAACATTCAAAGCAGCAGTGAGAGAAGTCTTCAGGGGATACAGCATGTCACTTATATCAAATTCAAACCATTTTAAAGGCAGGCTATAAAACTTTACAGGAACAAAACTGTTAAATACACGTCAGAAAGGAGAAATCGTTACACCGCTCCCCACCTGTCAATCAGGTCAGCTGCACGCCTTATTGTGAATAACTCTTATTCTTCATCAAATCAAAAAACGGATGAGTCATCAAAACATTCACCTCCCGTACAGTGTGTGTCGATCGAGACATGAGCTAATCAGACCTATTTGTTTTTTTTAACCAGGCTGTAAACATGCTTTTTAGAATGGGTGTGTATGTGACTTCCTGTGCTTCTGCAGCCAGCCTCTAGTGGACACTTGAGGAACTGCAGGATTTTCCTTCTTCTGATGCTAGCTCTACAAACTGAGAAATGGTTGATTGTGCATCACACTATGTTCTAGAAGCTCTCTTAGCTTATCAAAGGAAGAATGTGTGATTTTTTGTTCCAGTAGATGTCGCCCTTGAGCACCAGCATGAAACCAAAACAAACTGCTGTTTGGCCACACCTCCTCCATACTGAAGCCTCCGCTCTCCTCCAGCATACCACGTCCAACCCCCTTCCACTCACGTTCGCATTAAGGAGTTTAGCACAAGAGGGGGGCAAAATTGTCCTTTGCTCGAGCTGCAATCACCTATGTCCTGCATTGTTGTGTTAGCATGCTAATGTTAGCACTCTTAAGACTCTTACTAACATCCAAATAATCAGTGTATCTTCTTCTCTCTAGTTCTTGACTAAAACAGCTTTTATACACAAGGGGAGGAGCCAGCCGTCCCGTCCATGTAAACACGGCTCTGACAACAACACAGACAGCGGGACTCGAGCTTCTCACTCATTGTAGACAGTCATGAGTCAGTCATCAGTCTTGATTTCTGATATATTTATGTGTAACATGTCACACATTCTTCCTTTAAGCTAATGAATACACGTCTTTGTTTATCAGACAGCATTCAGCAGCATTTCCCTCAGAGTTCATTATTATTATTCAGAAAGCGCTTGAGTTTGTATTTGACACTAAACTGCAAAAGTGTTTACATTTAGCATTTCCTTAACCTGTAGCCACTCTCTGGCTCTGACCTTTTATCCAAATTGGATAAAACTCTCTCTTGGCCTTAACACATTTTTCCTGATAATTCCACATTTGCATACATTTATATTTCTTGCATGTTTGGAGCTCAGATCATCTTCCTGCACCTGACTCATTGACATGTTTGCAGCCATAATAAAATGATGTTACTGTCTTTTAGGTCCTGAGACTCTACAGGTGTTAACTTTCCCATGCTCACCTGCTTATTATGTCTGGAGGAACTTGACTGACCACTGAGTCCTGATCTGTGCGGGGTTTATCAGACAACTGGCAGCAGACTTCAGAGGTGGAAAGCCTCGCTGAAGGTGGAGAATCATGGAGCGGTTGATCTGAGCGACTCAGGGAGATTAGAGTCGAGCCAGAGGGTTCATGTGTTGTCTTTTCTCTGGACTCGTTGGTTTCAGCACTCCACCAAACGTACTTTGTTCTGCCTCTTCTGAGTCATGCGGCGGCTTTTTAGGATTCTGCCTGATGGTGAGCCGAGGTTCAAAGTGAAGAGCTGGCTGTGAGTGTTTGAAGTGAATAGAATAAACTAAAGACACTTTGACAGATGTGTTCTCTGAAGATGAACATACACACATTCATGGAAGGATTTATGAATGTTTCTCACACTGTTAGTTTGCAGTTCTCTGCTTCTGATGTGTCTGAATGTTTCAGTTTCACTTAGAAAACCTTACATTTCCACTGAAAGGCCCCCTGCAGGCTGCAAACATATGAAAACATTTATTTATTTAAAGTTTGAGCAAGTGTAAATAAAGATATGCTCCAGTGTTTCAGAATTCATAGTGCTGAGTAAAAAGGCAGC